ATGGGGCAATATCACGGTAAAGTTTTCAACCTAAGTAGTTACCAAATCACAAACTTCCCGACTAACATTTTGAAAATCGTATTTGGCATGAATACGACAATAACGTTTCACGTTTATTGCATAACACTCATCAATATAATATAATGAATTGTGTTATATAACTATCTTTTTATTATCATATTATTATGATATATACTGTGTGTAAATATATTCAAAGTGTTAGATAATACATTATTTTGATTCAGTTTGTCAAAATCTATTCTTTTCGACAGAAAGTACCCAAATGAGATGAATGGTTTATATAGAAATCCGACACGATGCGTGATCAAGCAGGATACAAAACTTTGTAAAAGGTTCAGATTTAATACTCATTTTGAATTCAACCATATTTTGGGCGGATGATTGGCCTCGACATATATATGACGCCAGATAAACATCCACATAAACAACAAGCAAATGAAAGCTCAGAATGTTTATCGTATCTGGCACAGAGTTTCAACTTGCTTACTTTTTACATCGAGCTGAGCAATATGAGTCCGCGCTGAAGAATACGGACAGGAGATTTCAATTTGAATCTCCAAGTTGATACAAAGTTGAAGATGATAATCTTAATAATAATAATCTTAGGAGGTTCAAAAAAATTTCAAAATTTTTATAACAAGTCGTTTTTTTCGAATTCTTACGTTTGAATTACTTATTTCATTCGCGCGAATAAAATACTGAGTCTGAAGATTTTACATCAAATATTAAGTTCATTTATATACTGATTCAAAAATTACAATTGTGGACAAAACAATGAATCACGGAAATAATACTTTAACGAATTACTTACCTTTTTCATCACAGTTTGGCCCAGTTTTTCAGCTGATTCTTGGGCAAGGCTGAGTACGTCCATAAATGAAAACAACATGGCTACTCCAATACTTTATCTCAAGTAGGCTACATACAACACTTGTTGATAAGCTAAAATCAGGTTGAAGAAGATTGCTTAGCAAGTTATTATATAGTCCGAAGAGTCGAGTTTCCCCACCCATGTGAGAATTGGCATCTTATCTCACTTCAGCCTACTATATCATGATAGAAGCGAAACCAATCGAATTTTACAGTACACAAGTATATATATATCAATAGATTTATTGGTCGTCAATGCATTCACGCCGTTTTCCTTGTCCCATGAAAGACCAGCCACAAATTTACTAGTTGTAATCCGATTTCATGCGTGACTTTTTCAATAATATTACAGCACCTTGTAATATACATTAACACTACAAGTAAATTCTGTTAAATATTACAATTTTTTTCTAACAACGAACTACTTATCTCACAAGACATATTAAGTATGATTGACTGGCTGATATTAAATTTTCATGTCATTACGAGTGAATATTATTAATTATTGCGGATTCCCTCATTATTTATTCTGTTCTAAAAGATTATAGGCAAAGTCGAGGAAAAAAATCAGTCGTCGTGGCTGGCAACGAATTCAAAAATCATTTTTGCCGCCAATCGAGATGAAGAAACTATAACGCTATATGAAATTATTATTTATAAGTTAGGGTTACTATATCGTCACGCTAATAACCGAATTGCGTAAGTCATTTTTAGCAGTTTTGAGAAAAACGTAAAAAACTTCCTAATGATATTGTTATGCCATTGAGAGTCAATAATTTGCCATGGTTCAATTTTTTGATCGTAGCCGGATTTAAGTTAATTTGTATGACGCAGTTAAGTGACGTCATAATGGCGCACTGTGACTTACGCAGAAATGTGTCTATGACTTGGGGACATACGCAATTTTGCAACTATACTATATGCACCAGTCCTGAAAACTAAACATTCCAAAAACGAATGTTCTTAGTATCTACAATGTCTAATCCCCAAAATAGCTAATCGGTTTCAATTACATTATTTTTTATGTTTAAATATATATATTTCGTCAATATAACACGTTCTGCACACCCATCGAAATAAGACTAAGATTAAATATAAAGAATAAAACAGCAATGTACCTAATATAAGAGCCAACCAAGGTGAATTGGACTCGGACAGTGAATATCACAAGTGTACGCCTTCCTATACTGTAGTATAAATTCAAATTAATACGCGCTAAGCTAGAATCTGAGATGCAAAAAATCGAAAATCCTTAGCCGAGATTATTTTGCCTTTGTGACGTCACAATAGTCCTGCGGTACTAATGATAATTCATCATGACGAAACAATTGCACAAATGTGCATGTCATACTAAATCTCCATTTTTATGGGTTTCGGAATTCTTAAAATAAAATCTGAGTTAACAGACAGGTGCGCAGCATTACATAAATACCTATTTTATAAAAAACTCAAAATCGCCAAAAATGACTTACGCAATTCGGTTATTAGCGTGACGATATTTGACGAGACACAATCCTTTTTGCGAGTGTAACACTTTTATTATGGTATAAATTATGGATGCATCCACGTCTATTGCAGCTGACGCTTTTCCTTACAAGTAGGGTAAATATGGAAGTTATAGACAACAGCAAAATTGACTCATTTTACTAAACCAAATACCAGTTGTTTCTGAAAACATATACTCATATATAGAATTAAACTCAAAAAACTTCGAGGCGAATACTTTCTGTGATTACGCATATCCATCTGAAGATCTAACGTTCTTCAATAAACTCTTGTTGAACATCAAATATCACAAAGACGAGATCACGAGACAAGTCTTTAAAATAGTAATTAGGCGTTAGAATTTCTTTCATCGTCTCAAAGATACAAAATAATTTGTCACTTTATTCGACGAGGAAGCTCCTCCTACTGCATCGTAATGTTTATCGGGACTGAGATATGATTTTAAATCAGCGACACGTTTGTATGAAACTGAGAAAATGTTTTTGGTTTGCAAACCAAGCATTCTGCTGATGTTTTGCCTTCATCTTATCAGTAAGTTTTGCTTGGCCATTCATTCACAGTAAAAAATGACGAGAAATTACATATTTACCACCAACAAATCTCACCGTAAAAAATTGCTGTTAGATTTCCAAAACTTCAAATATTTCAACTAACCATATAAAATGAACTATTGGAAAATCCCGGATATTTGAACACTTTTTAATATTTGTGCCTGACGAAGATTTGGTCATTGAAATCCCGGACATGTCGGGGGGGGGGGGGGGGGGGGGGGACCTGGCGTATGGCAACCCTGAGGCAACTGAAACTTAAAGACTGAAATATTAACTCTCGTTAATACCAACAGGGACCGAAACCCATGCACCCCAACTTGTACGCTTGTTCAACCAAATAGACTCGCTTTATAAACGACAACACATTGCTTCTAAACCAATGGTTCCCAAACTTTTTAGAGTTGGCCCCACTATTTATTACCACAGCTTATGGCAACCCATCTCGTGATTTTCTACAATGTAATTTTATTTTATTTTGTACAGTGTACAAATCTGCTATGCGTAAAAAAGCCACATGGTCATTCTTTGTGTAGCAAAACAATTTAACGAGCAAATTTATTGTATCAATGCCTCTGAAAAGCTTATAGAAAATCGAAATGAACTTGGAAGAAAACTGATTACAGTATATATATCTATTCTTACAGATTCAATCATTTTCTGTTATAGAATGGGAAATAAACAACTTTTCATTTGTCTAGTAAATCAAATGCCGAAAAAGTTCACGTCAACATTGGCCTTATAACTTGATGGACAGATCGATCAATACTGGATGGGATGATATAAAATGATACAAAAATGTAGCCTACCGGATATGCATCTGAGATAATGTCATATATATGCAAATACAGCCAACTCAACCGTTCATCAGCCAACAACCATTCATGTGATACACATACAGTATCAACAATTCCAAATGTATGTATAACCGAGTGTTTTACGTCAGAGCGTTACCCTTCAATAAGAATGCTAAGTATGATTGCTTTCAAGTATTCGATTCTTATCCGATTCCTAAATTTTCGATTCCGATTCTCGATTCCGAATCTCGACATATCTTTCCGAGAAAACATACACACCTAAGCAATACCATATGAAATCAAACAAGAGAGCGATGTTCGAATATATGGACGGACGAGAAGGCCAAAACTAAGTAGTGTGGGTATTCAATCTGTCCCAGGCAACTGAATCGCAAAAAAAACGAATCCCTCAGAACCCTCAGAGATTTTAGAAATGAATAAACGTAAAAGCCTCCTAGCGAAATATATATACCGTATATATATATATATATAGTGAAATTTGCGACGTCGTAGCAACTCAACATAGCAGTAAAGCAGTTTATACATATATATATATATGTGAAGGAATTTCCACATAACGTTACGCATTGTTTGCAATCCCAACTTTTAACCTCGAGAATCGATTCCAATGCAGGGAATCGATTCTAGTCGATTCCGCGAAGAATCGATTCTGTAATCGAATCCGGATTTGATTCCGCCATCCCTACCCTTCAATTAACGAACTGTTCATTACACAATTTCTGGTGTATGGTTGTTTCGTTTACAATAATTTTTCCATAACGATTATTTATGATAATGAGACAAGTGATACGACAAACTACTGATGCATCCCCAGTAGATGTTAGATACGAGTTAGATGTTTATGCATGTTTTGGCTGTATATGCATAGCACGTTACTTGTTGTGGCTGCATATGTATAGCGCGAATACGGTACATGATTCTAATCAATAATAAGTGATTTGACCGAATCGTCAATAACAAATGTATTGACATCAACTATTCAACCCTGCCCAATAAAATGAGAACCAAGCATGATTAGCCATCCCGTGTCGTACCAGTTTCGACCTTAACATCGATTCCACACGGGTATGATACAGATTCAGCCAGTTGGATTTGTTTATTAACTAGCTTCAGTAATAGCAAAACTATCTCATTCTTGCTTGTTTATGGGATAACTAAAAAAGCTAAAAGACGAAAATTAGCGAACTTCCTTTGTTCATCCCAAACGCCAGGAAACCCCAATTTATACCCCAATCTATAAAAGAATATATAAATTTTATTTGAAAAAAGCAACAAAATTTCACAAGTATGAATATGTATGTTCAAATGTACAGGCTATATTAAATCGAACTAAGTAACTATAGTGTGGACAAAAACACAAAATAGCTTAAGCTGATGGAAAATGTTTTCAATGTTTCAATTTGTAATATTTTTTACTGATGTAATCAAAAACACAACATAAGAAGTCTTTACCAACTAATATACATATACCTAATTAAAATTTTAAACCAATTCATTCAAAGTTTTTTTTTGTAAATTGCCACTTTATGAAAACTTTCATTATATCGAATTTGTCACAATCAAATTTTGCTTACATTACAATATTAATTCAGAAAAGATTTAATATAGATTGGATTAATTATTGGTTATTCAACAAGATAACAAAGTTAATTTTCAGTAAATTTCAACTATTCTCATTCCTTATAGATAGAATTTGTTATAACAAAATAATTCCAAGGCAAATTCTATTTATTTCAGTTCCTATACTAGCAAACATTTTAATAAATTATGAAAAATCAAATAACTTGATTCCTTCCAATCTATTCGGAGGAAGTTATCAAAAGTTCACACAGCCATGAATACAGTGGGTCAGTAGTTGTATAAGAGCAACCAATTGTAAATAATTCAACCATGTTTTCAATTGAATTGACCGTAACTTGGAAAGGTAAAGATGTGATGATATCATGGTCTGGTGAGAAAAGAAGAGCACAGTTGGTGAGTGTCTGTTTGACATCATCTTCTAATTGAGATGGAAGCTGAGGTGTGGTTGATTGTTTTCTTTGCCGAAGATTACGGGAACGATTTTTCTCTACAGGAGCCATTGTTTGACCAAAATGTATTTCCACTTTTTGCAGAAGAGCTTTGATTTGACCAAGGATGCGTGAAATGTCTGATGGAGGAATAAGAAGTTTTCCGCATTCTTGTGAATCTGTCTTACACCAAAGTAAAGCCATTTTGTGTCGTACTCTGTACCATTGTACCAATAACACCGCTGCTTTGCTATCAAAAGGAGGAAGTTCACATGTTTCACCATATGCTGGTAGATGCTCCTTTAAATAATCATGCAATGAGTTGACTCGAATAGAGAGATACTTTGAAAACATTGGCGTTTTTGTCGCTTGGCTTTTTTGATCGTTCTGTTTTTCATTACCAGCATAAAAATCATCAATGCTCGAATCATCAGTCTCAGCAGTAGGAGGTCGCTTTTCATCGCTTATACGAAGAGATGAAAATTTACGTAACAATAAAATCCTGTAATGGAGAACATGAATCCATGTAAAGTGCCCAGATTCCATCCGTGCTGCAGTGACCACAGGATCAATAGTAATATCATCAACTGTTACAGGTGCAGGAATATCTTTGTGACTGGTGGAGAGGTCGAGTAAAACAAAATCAGGAAGCTTCGCCTTATCTTCATCAGTAAAATCGGTAGTAGTAACCGTCGTATTTCCAGGTAACAAAGCCCTGCTTTGGTTTTCTTCTGCAATTGAGTAAGCTGTTTGTAGAGCCATTCCAATCTGTTTCGTACTTCTGATATTACTACTTTCACTGGTTGCATTTTGAATATTAGTATTGAGAGTAATACCAAGCATTGCTAATTCTAAGTGGCCATCACGACTCACAGAAGCATCACTTATATGTGCAGATTTGATGGCTGACTGCAGTGCACTTTGAACAACTGAAACTTCACATCCATTCATAAAGTATAAAGCTCTTGTAACTTTGGCTAATTCAAAATTTATTTCAGCAAACAGTCTTGGGTCTTTTTCTGCTGAACCTTCACAAAGATATTTTGCTTGGCGTAAAATTTCAGTCGTCGCTTGCCACTCTTCCACAGAAGATGTATCAGTCAAAGTAAAATAGTTTGCATGACCCATACGAAGTTTTATATGAGCTAGAATTTGGAGATTACGATGATAGATATTTTTAAATGGCATTTCTACTGTTGATGTAAAGAGACGAGAGTGTTTCATTGTTTCACCATGATGCATTGTGTGCAGCAACATAATCGCATGTGCATTGTGAAACTCCTGTACTGCATGAGATGATGTCCATTTGTTACTTTGAAGCTGTAAATCAGCTATCGAAATCGTTCCTTGAACCAAAGTGACTGTGCCTTGATCAGAAAGATTTGGTAATTCATCTAAAGTGGCAACCACATCTTCAAGAGTTTTAATAGTCTCTTCACTTGAAAGTCCTTCCACATGAGAACCATATAATAAGAATGCAGCTTGCATTTCTGGGTCGTTACAGGCCTCAGCTTCAACAAGACCTTTTGCGCAATAAAGTTGTAAAAATGTGTGATTTTGGCTTCCACTTTCATTACTTAAGGGGCTTCGTACTTTACCCAGCCCTACTATTTGTGTCAGCAAAGCATCACATAATTGCAACCGAATCTGAAGCCACAGTCTTGCATTCAATCTCGAACGATATTTCTGTTCAATATTAACAATCTGCTTCTCTGCATCTGGAGTTAGTGGCCTATGGTCCCGTTCAGCACTCCTATTTTTCAATGCAGAACGAATCTGCCTTGGTCGTTTCACAGTGAGGTCATCAAAAACTTCAGATGACTGCATAAGATCAAGTGCCTTAAGAGCATGAGATGCTGCTATAGTTGAATGTTGTCGCTGCTGTTCTATTTGTGATAATATTAAATAACAATGTAACGCAATCCATAATTCACCAGAAGTCAACTTCGCACCGCTTGATGCAATTGGATTCAGCATCGCATTAATGAGAGATTCTGCCACAGCAATCAACATGCCTTTCAGGAGTGGTATTGTCATTGGACTTTCACGCTTTGAGAATAATTTTTTAACATGCCTATATGTTGAAGCTGTTGACAAAGCACTTATTGTGGAGCGAACATCATCAGATGCTTGTGATCTGGGAGTCTTCCTCTGTGATCCCCCTGGCAATTGAACAGCATCTATTTCCGGAGACACGAGGATTAGATCTTTGATTGTTGGCCTTTGTGGCAAGCCTGTTATGCACTCAGATAGTTCAGTCAACAATCTAGCTTGCTGAATAGTGATTTCGCAAGTCAAATGAGGTCCATACAATTGAGATAAGTTAGCAGAAAGCCTCTTACTTGCAATAATTTCCATTGCCTTCAAATTTTCTAAAGCTTCCATAGATTGTGATAAATTAAAATTGATTGTTGGTGGTGAACTGTCTGGCTCTCTGTAAGTGTGATCTGTTGGATGTGGCAATTTGCTTCCATAGAGCAACACACATAAGTCGTTAATGGCAACATCAAATGCACGTATGTTATTTAAAGCAGTGAGCTTAATGGAACGGCATTGTACACTTCTATGCAAATCTTTACATACAAATGTTGCCAAGTATTGATAAAAACAAATGCATGGAAAAGCTTTCAAGTTGAATTGCACTTGGACCAACGTTTCACATAGCCAATGCAAGCATGATAGCAATTGCTTTGCTTCCCCTCTGTATTGATCAGAGAACAAATCAACATTAGGAAAAATTGAAGTAGACCCGGGCATATACTTTCTTGGTTTGCTGTTGTTTTGCAGTACATGTTGTGGAAATATTTCATAAGACATGTAGTCTACATTTGATGTAGGATGTGGTAAGGAAAGCCTGAAAACAGCTTGGACTAATTCCGCTGCCAGCAATGCACAATTGGTTTTTTCTTGCAAATCTACACCAGAAAATTCACCTATTTTGCAGGTAAGAATAATAGCAAGCAATGATCCCCAAGGCCCTAATTTTTGTAACATGCTTTGTGGGATATCATAGTGATCTTCAATGGTTTTATTCCATTGTGTGATTGCATTTTTCACACCAAATAATTGATCCAAACCTCTGTTCCAAGCGAGAAGTGCTGCTTTGTTATTTCCTGTGTGGAGATATAAATTTCCCAACTCATGATTTGCTTGGCCTACAAGATCTCGTTCTCCATGTGAAGTAAGAAGTTCTATTGTTTTAATATACGACTCAATTACAGTAGGTAAGTGTGCGAAGGGGACTGTCTCCACATCCTCATTATCTACAAATTCAGTGTGTGTTAAGCCCGAAGGGAATGGTTGTTGAGTTTTACTTTCGACATCAACAAAACTGACAGTGGAGCCTCTATGATCCTGTTTTGCAGAACTTTGTGCCGACCTCGGTTCTTTTTTGTTATATTGAGAGGCAAGGTATAATCCTAAAAGTTTCCTAGAATGTATCAAAGCCCGTGAAATATATCTTGACTTCTTTAAATTTTCATGCAGGTTCCATAAACTGCTGTTCACATCGTATGGTACGCAAGACAGTGCAAATGCACGTTTTCCTCCTTCATATACATCATGAGCACCTGGATCAATAAATCCACCGATGTTGACATTTGAAGCTGATTCAGGATCAAGAGGTTGAATTTGCAGGCTTGCTGTAACATAGTTATGGTTGTCAAAAGAAATTCTTTCCCCCTTATTATTCACGGCAAGTTGCAATGCACTTTCACCTCCGTATTGTTGAACCCTTTTCAGTATTTCATGCTGAGCATGGATCAATATGGGAGCTATTGTTTCTGAATATCTTTCATGTGTTAAAGCAGTGAATCGAAGACAAATATCAACAAGTTGTTCCCATCTACATTCAAAATGAAGCATTTGAATCGAGCGTAATATAACAGATTTTATCAAAGGAAAATCATATAGATGAGAATCGTCCATCATTTTATCAAACCACAAATTGCTTCCCCCTTTCTCGTCAACAATGTCTCCTGCGTAGCTATCAACTGGCCAGTCTTTGCTTTTACTTTCCTGCATGCAAACAAGCATATCCAAAATAAAATCTGATGCGAGTGTCAAGGGAAACCAAACCAATTGTCTAAAATCTTGCATCGTCATGACAGGTTCATGTACATTTACAGACTGTTCCAAGACAACTGATATACATGACATTAAAGACCTGGTTATATTCTGTAGCAAAGTCCAGTGTTTACCTCTATGAGCAAGAACAAGACCCCTTCGAAATGATAACATGCATATTTTGAACGTTTCCATAATCACATTATTCTGTACTGCTGCAATATTTGGATCTATAGTTTGTGTAGAAACCATAGAAACAGGAGAGTTAGTTCTTTGTGTTCTTGGGGATTCAGCACCGCGCACGCTCTCGTCATCTGGTGATAACTGAGCATTTGGCTCATCACTTTGCTCCGTATCAAAAAGTACATTAATTGCATTCCTTGCAGATATAAGCAGTGCTTGACCAGGATCATCATCATCCGCTTCGATTGCAATATTAGTTTTGACGTTAAAAGGTTTGTGACTGACTGTGCTAGGCTGTAATACAATGCTGTTACAACCATCCAATGACCAAAGCTTATTATCCATAAGACTGATATTTTTGCTTGGAATAACATTGCCTTTGATTAACTGTTGACGTCTGTCTAATTTTTGTAGAAGCATATCGAGATGAAGCAAGCCAACAAGATGATTAAACTCTGCTCTCCATGGCATTTCGTCGAAAGACAATTTGCGTAATTTCTTTCGTTTCACACTATTTTTGTATAATTCAGTCATGTGTTTTTCCAGAACAATCAAAGCCTTTCGTTCCAATTCTTCCTGTTCATCTCCGTTTCCTTTTACCATAGGACGACTTCTTTTCCTTTGTGTTTTCTTTTTCTTATCTTTTGTCTTTGATCCTTCCTGAGCATAGCTTACTATCACCGCTGCATACTTGTTTGGATCGTTTCCCTGCATTACCACAGCACCGTTTTCAACAGACATCAAAGTATAGTTGACAGAGAGTCCCTCATTTCTACGTCTCAGCCAAGTTATTACATCCTGAGACCATTCAATTGTAGGTTCGATTAATCCACAGTGTAGAGCTTTATGCATAACATGAACAAAGTACTCCAAGTAACGTGATCGTCTTCTAAATTTTGATATTTCTTTGTATGCAAGCATTGGTTTAGCAGTAATGATGTATGAAAGAACAGTGCTGGCATCCTCTCCGCCAGTTAATTCATCAGCAGAATGCTTTTCTTTTGTAAGTTCTGCAAGTCTTTCTTCCAGAGCATTTAATTCATGACTCATGCTCAGATTCACCAGACTTACTGGTTTTACTCCTCTCTTCTTTCCTTGTGTAACATTCACAGAACTGGGTTCACCACTTGAATCAACCACTTTTGGTAAAGAACCTTGACTTTGCTCTCCAGGATTAAGAAGTTGTTTTCCAGCATCAATCATATTCAAGCACATATCTGGCCTTCCAAAAGAACGTAGTACTTTCGATAGGTAGTATGTTATACTAGCTATCATATGGTGAACTGAATTATTAACCATAGGTGATCTCTGACTTCTAGTGCCACCACATGCTTCTCGCAGCGCAACATGACATTTAGTAAGCACCTGTATTAATGGAATGAAATATACATCAGATTGAATCAAGGGCACCAATAAACCATAGCATTGGGTTACAGCTTGAAGTAAATATGATGCATCATTCAAGTAACTTGCAAGTTCCATAGCAACTAACATCTTTTCGCATTCTTGCAGTCTCAAAATTTGTCCTGGTAATAGAGGTCCTTTATCACAGAGTTTAATACAAAATAGCCCTTGTTCTCGAACAGCAACCTCAACAGATATAAACATACTTACTACGACGTGTCGTAAAAGAATTTGTGAACTTGCTGATATCATTTCCTTTTGTAAACTATGCAATGTTAACACAAAATCTCGGGCATCAGTTGTTGTCCAAGTATCAGAATCGCTTTCAGGAGGCGGTGAGACAAACCGATTCCAAAGAACTTCTGCAGCCTGTTTTGCAACTTCTCTTACTCCAACACGATGACTCACTTCCGCAAGTATTGACCATGCATTTAGTATTGACATAGGATGGTGAGCAGGAATAACTTCGCTGGTCACTCCAATGCTGTTTCCAATTAGAGAACCATCAGATGCATAAGCGGCAACAGCGAACACATATCTTTGGTTACTACGCAGACCATCAACTCGAAAAATACATTCATCACCAGCTGGGACTTCGTTACCAGCTCCTTCTAAAAAGTAGTCATTCAATCGGACTTTTACATTTGGACCAGCAGAAGATCGCCCAAACAGACGATACCAGGCAACCGTAGTTCCAACAGGGAAAAATGGTGCAGGTTTAAAAATCATTGTTGAGTTCGATCTTGCTAGAAGTAATGGTGGTGGTGGAATCGTAGACAAGCCTGGAGTTTCAGGTACGTCAACAGATTTACTAAGATGATACAATTTTTCTTCTTCCTCCTCTGATCTAGATAACAATGATGCAGCTTTTTTCAATGCCTCAGTAGCTGATGGCAGATCTCCCTTGGATTCCACATTTGCTCTTTGGGCATGTAAAAGTGCATTAGACACAAGATTACCCCCAACGAGTGCGAGCATCTTTTTTTGTTATATTCCCCTGGATGTTTTTGAGATCTTGAAGTCATGACTGAGCTCCGGGAAGAACGGGGTGGCTTGATGTCAGATTGTTGTAAGTTTGATAATTTGAGGTATATTCTATGGTGCGTGTTCAGTAGTTCAACATGCAAATCACGAACCATAGCTTCTTTTTGACTAATCGTAATTACATTATCTTGCATCCACATGGTATCGCTTACATCCGTTCCATCATATGACATTTTGAGCGTCCTACCAGCGCACAATGAATTGATGGCATCTGATAACACTTCACAAGCTGATGCAAGGCGTTCGTTTTTGGTTTGATGCAAAGACATTGCAGAAACTACTGATAACCTTGACCTGTCCATGTTTGGAACCTCTTGAGTTGTTTGATTTTCATCACCAGTAGCTGATTCCATGAGGAGGGCAAGTCGTAGAGAAACCTCTGCCAAAGTGGTTGGATCAACACTTGCAATACCACACCATACAAAAGCACTATGAATAATCTGTAACAAATGAATCCATTTTTGTGAAACATTGCTATCAGATTGGTTATGTGTTTGCAACTTAGACAAAACAGCTTTACATCTTTTCCATACAATCTTACATGCATCTAAAATCATATCACGATCTATTAAAAACTCTTGATCTTTTCCAGATGGTGAGAAAAGACCAGGATTTGTGATACAATAGTAAACAGTTTCTGCCAAATTGACGAGATCGTCACTCGCTTGAATAGCATGCATAGAACTTTGAGTTGCTGTAGGAACATCTAACCTTTCATCCGGTATATTCGTAGCAGATGCACTTGTGGAGGGATGAACTCTTTTCAAAGCTCGAGATCGTATTACTCGTTCTGAAACAAGCATGAGTGCTAAACACAACTCTGGTCCCTTGTTGTCACCTTCGTTTTCAGTTTCAGATTTTTTAATGTAGAGTAATGAACAATCCAATAAACTACTGAAAGTTTCCCATTGTTCATAACAAAAGGCTAATTTGATGAATCTTACGACACTTACAAGGGTTACTCCATCTTCTCCAGCAGCTGCCAACTGCACTAAAGATTTATCATTACGGATTCCAGCCATAACTGAATGATCAGCACCACTAGCATTTTGATTTTTTGTTCCACCTCCACCAGCAATAATCTCCTTGCCTGCAAAGAACAATTCTGCGTGCACATCAAGAATTTCTGTATCTGTGTCTGCAGCTGGGGGTTGCGGTTGAAAGCAACGACGGCGTCCATTACTCAAAGCTTCCAGTATAGCCAGGAACTGAGCAGCATTTCCAACGAACATATCGCCAAGTAATTTTTCTGTACCAGTTCGTGGCCACACCATCTGAGCTGCTTCCTTTAAATTATTTCTCATCTTGGGACGTAAAAGTCCTTTTGGTTTTCGTCTAGACTCAAACACAGTTCGCTTAAAAACCATCGCTGCCATTTTAACAGTGGCTTGCTGGAATATCAGACGAGTGGTTTCACTTTCGGGAGTGCCACTCATTGCCTCTAACTCACTCAATTCTTGAAGTTTGGTCAACGATCTTCGAGCAAATTTTTCAGCCAGTTGTCCGGCTTGGCTGTCATAGTAGGCAAGGCAAACAGCTGTGTATAGCGTAACCCTCCATGTTAAGAATTTCACAGCAAGTAAAGGTATACTTGTTTCCATGCACATTGCAGACCAAACTAAAAATTCAATTGCTTTGATGGAATTTCCACTCATCATGAGCTTTCTACACATTTGATAGCAGATAATTGTACAGTTATACAACACCCAATGAAGAGACTCATGTTTTTGTATCACCTGCATAAAAATTTGTAACCCTTTGAGAGCGGCAACACATTTTTCAATCGAGTCTTCACGCACAAAATCAGCATCAGTATGTTGTATAATGTGAAATTTACATGTGAAAGCTCCCAACAGTGCTTGACAAGTTGTTATCGCCAATTTGGATGTCACACCCTCACTGAAGTATGATTCCTTACAAGCATTTGCACTGCTAGTTCCAGCACTCAAAGGTACTTTGAAGGAAATAACTAAAAAGTGATTGAAACACTGATGCAAAGCAATTTCATGAGATCCCTGTGTTGATAAATAATTACCAATCTCTATAAGTTTATCATAATAAAACTCTGTAGGAAGGCGAAGGGCATACTTATTCCATATATCAAACAACCAGTTTGATCCTCTTGAACAGGCTTCATTTTCTTCTCGTCTGTATTTCGGATCTTTTGATTTTTCAATATAATTGCAAAATTCATTCAATTCTTTCCTAATGGCCACGATGACAGGATTACGATCATTGACTTCTCCATAGTAAGTTGCATGTGCTGTTCGAACACCGGACAAAGCAACATTCACTAATGTTGATGCCATTTTGATACTATAATTTACAACATCATATTTAACAAACTATAAAAGTGATGCAATAAATTTATCGATCATTAATATTCTGCATATATAAATTGAATAATCATACAAAACTACTACAATATGGTACAAGGAAATGTCATTCTCAAACACGACAGATTTCTTAGCATTGGTTGTAGAGTTTTATAATATCAATCAATTTTATTTAATTCAAAAGTCTTGCTGCACACGATTCACGAACACAAATATATTTCTGTAACATTTCATCTGACCGAGGTCAGACTTCTTCAGACAAGCATTTTACAACTAAATGCTTGTCTGAAGAAGTCTGACCTCGGTCAGATGAAATGTTACAGAAATATATTTGTGTTCGTGTGCAGCAAGACTTTTGAATTAAATAGAATAGCCATTTACACTCTTGCTACAGCATCCTTGCGTAATACGCATACGGATCCACCTGCGCAAAGGCATAGAGAGCAAGGAAAGGTAGTTAGTTTCACGCAACCTCAACTGTTAATCAATCAATTTGTTTTGATTCCAAAGTTCAACAGAAATCATTCAATGCATTACATAATATATTAAAAACATTATTGTGTATATTTTTGCAATGATTTTAGTCATTCAAATCTGTTTTTAAGGTTGAAGTTTTAAAAATACCTTAAAAGTAATAAATGGCAATTGAACAATGGGTACAAAGATTGGCCATATCGTTATCCATTCTCAAACAATCTAGCTAAACTTAAAATCTCAGCAAAATTTCTGTATATGCTATTGCTATTACTAGCCCCTATCTGACTATGTCAACCGAAAATTACCTCACTATGACAAATGTATTAAGTTAAAATATACAGTCGAACGTCCAAAATTGTCACCCAGGCACCCGAAATCAAGCAAGTTACGTCGAGTCATACTCTCTCTTGTTTTCTTGTTGTTGGATCATTTCTCAATTTCGAGAGATCGTCTGTGCGATTTGAACAACCGTTCATATATTTTAGTGGGCTCCACTACCTCCCCGTGACATGATTTTTGGATGACGTACTCAAATTGGAATCAGCAAAAAAACTTTTAAGCAAAAATAGTTACGTCATGCCCACTACAGAAAAAGGTAGATATCAGTAGTAAACGACTAAAAAGGTAGGTAGGTATCAGTAGTAGATGGCTAAAAAGGTAGGTATCAGTGTCTAATAAGGTAGGTATCAGTAGTAAATGACTAAAAAGGTAGATATCAGTAGTAAACGACTGAAAAGGTAGGTATCAGTAGTAAATGACTAAAAAGGTAGGTACCGGTACCTTTTTAGTCATTTACTACTGATACATATCTTTTTAGACACTGATACCTACGTTTTTAGTCATCTACTACTGATACCTACCTTTTTAGTCACTGATACCTATGATACCTACTTTTTTAGTAGGGCCCAACTTCCACAATGTTGCACTGTCAATATCCTCGCATTCCAGCATTCGTTAATTTGTACACGGGCGGTCTGTCAACGTCTCCATAGCAACGTTCTGAACTGGTGGCAGAAGAGAGCAGTCTGGGCCAATCGCATTTCCATTCAAATGCTTCCAGATTTTACCAATCAATTCTAATGGTTAAATGTTAGGGTTGAGAAGATTATTACAAGACAATGACAATTACTCTTCTCATTTCCGCTTATCGCCCACGCCTGTTTTTACGCGTAATTTTACTGCCTCGAAAAAAGAACCCACTGACGTATTTTGCGTACCATACGGACCATCGTGTTATAAGGCGCACTGTCGATAATTCTTCGATTAGATTGGGTTTTTATCCACACATAGGGCGCATCAGGCTATAATAATCAACGGGATTTAAAGTAATACCGGTATTGTTTTTAAAGGTAGGCCATAAAACACTACCTGATCCATAATGGGGCGCACGATCGATTTTTGAGAGGAAAAGGAGATTTGAAGTGCGTCTCATGGCCCGTAAAATGCGGTACTTCGTGACTTTTCCGCTGATCGATTCCTGATTAGGTTAGCTTTGTTAGTCTCAAATTATGATCCTCCATTTAGTAAAATAACATCCAGTACCTATTCATATATTGAGATGTAACTGTTTGCCAACAAAATGCTGTGCCGAATGTTTTATCCATGAACTTGCATAATATGAAGTTCTTTTCTACATAACTGCTTGTCTGGAGGTTTTAATGACGCCTCTTTCGCAAGGATAAACAATGGTTGCATCAAAATATCATGGCATGTCAGTACTTGGTCTGATGCGGGTCGAAACCCCATACCACATAAATGATGGATAAATTTACTGTGGATCGCGGTTCGTGTAAGTTTTACCAATTCTATGAAAATATCAATTTTATATTTGCGTGTGGTTTCTATGACGTGCTATGTTCCTGCATCCATTCAGAAAATTTAAGTCTTTAAAGTATAACAGTGGGTGAGATTTCGACTAAATAGGATATTAAATGAAGTTCATCTTTTCATTGGAATTCATTTCTCGAGGAAGAAATCTTGCGAACTTTTTCCTATTACCGTAACTACAACGAAGGTACGCGTGTATTCACCGATGTGAATATGAAAAATCCAGCAGAGACATTAATGGTGTATTTAGTTTCATCATTCATTCAGCTGTTTATTACCATGCGCCAACTAGATATTAAAATTTAATGAATATCGTATTTTACAACGGTGATATTATATATATTCTAAGTGTGAGTGGAATGCATTTTGAACGATTTATAGAAAGAGATTCAATAACCTCGGGCCTATATTTGCTCACTTTCGCGTAGAGGCCTATATAAAATACTCAACGATCTTTTTTATTCTGACAAGGAAATCCGGGATTATTCATTTTTGTATTTACAGTATTTCTGTGTTTTTACAAATGCAATATGGCAACTTGATTTCTTTACTGCTTTCTTCCTGCTCTTAACCAATAATAAGGCTGCTCGGAAAAGAAGTGCGTTGAAGTGCGTAACTTTATGCGTTGTTAACTTAATGGGCTTTTTAAAAACTAGCAATAACATTTATAGTTTGTCATAACGATTCCCGCGCTGCCTGCTTTCTGCCTGTCTTTTTATGCTTGTCCTTGAGAGGTATTCATCATTGTTAGGCGTATTGTAGTCAAAATCTGAAAGTTATAAATTATTAAAAACATTATGTTTTGCAAGGGTAAGATGTTGCGGTTTTTCAATTCTTTTGCAATATATATCATACCTTCTTCTTCTTTTCGTTCTAAAGTGGAAAGAACTCGATTGTTGCTTTCTGATAAAAGGGCGTCCTCCTCCTGGGAAAAGTACAAGTGAATATTAAATACTATCGCATCTTAGATATCTGTTGAGACAGGTTTCAAACTATAAATATAAATTGCTTATATCAAGTATCAGCTGACAAAAACACATTTGTGTATAATCAAACTACCTCTTCTATACACAAACTCTCATATTGATACACCTCTATATGAGTAAAAGTTATGCTGACTTCAAGGCGAACATTACGCATCTGCCGATGGTGAACCAATGACCATTATATAGTTATTTCGTTTTTGAGTTCTTCTTATGAATCTATTGGCTAGTCCCCATTACCAATTACAAGTTAATTAATAAGGAACCTTTTGTGCTAATATTTATGCTCTTTAGCATCTTATATTATGATTTGATTATATTTCATTTTAGAAGGTTCGGGTTGCGTTGGTCTTATTTCAGTACCACTATATCCCATATTTACAATATATATATATAATCCAACAAATAAAAATATTTTTTACAAAATGAATTTTACTTTATTTGAAACCGTCTCAAAATCTGTTTGAGTTTTTCCCGTCTCTCGTATTTCATCGTTCAGAGTATTTAGTAGTTCGGTGAATATAGAGAACAGTTTGCGTATATCTTGTTTATCTTTTCCAGTACGGATACACTCTTTTGCTGAATGAAATACGCTCGTTAATGGTACATATTTTCCCTGGTTTAAAAACCACCCGTGTGTTTATCATGACAAAGAAACTTTTTGGTATACGTCACATTTTCAACTATATTTATTAATTTTTAGCAGCACTTGGTATTTCATGACTGCGATCTTTGCAACTCAATGAGTATTTGGCGCATTCAATTTTTATAAAATGAAAAGCAATATAGCCCACCTTTCCAAATAAGAGCTTTCGCACTCTTCAAATGTAACTTTTCGCAAACTCTGAGCAACTTCGTTGTGATGGGTTCTAACCACGCATGCACTTCTTCCATCAGTTCAAGTGTTATAATTTGACTGTTTGATAGTTCTTTTTTACGCAATTCCAGTCGATTGACTTGTTTTTTAGCCTCTGAAATTTTCTTCTCCAACCTTTTAGAAACATTGCATTGTCATTTGTTAGTTAAATTGTATATATTTTGAATTTAAGAATTCTACTTTCTATCGACTGTGTAGAATTTTCTTACTCCATTTCGTGTTCGTGTATCATTTTATCGTACTGGGATTTATATTCGCTCAGAAGTTTTTTCTTTTTGATAAGTGCATTTCTATTTTTTGTTGTCTGCGCTCTCAATGTCCTGGATGAATTTTTCTGATTCCGGAAGCAGTTGACAATGCTCTACAAAAAATTATTTATTTTTATATTTTTGAAATATTATAAACAAGAGATATCACTTATAATATGTGTACGTTTTACCTCTTTATTGCTGAATGGAATTCCGGTGACTGCTTCTAACATATTTGCCTTTTCTTGATATTCTTTTATTTTTTCCAATCTTTCCTGAGTTCGTTTTGCCATTTCGGCCAAACGTTTTTCTTCTTCTAAATAACGTGTCGCTAAAGTATAACAAAGTTCGATAAAAAATAATGTAAAGAATTATCATTATCCAATAATAATGAAATTATTGGATGCACAACCAAGAATAATACTTTCATATCAATATTTAATGTTTTTAAATAATCTCATTTAATTAATAAAACAATAGATGCAAGCTTTCCAATAAGTTTGGAATTTTTGATATAACTTCACTAAAAATTATTTTTGTTGGTATTTTATGATACGAGGTAGATCTATGGATCGTTTTGTTCTTGTTGTTGTTGTGAAAAAAATGCTTTTCTCTCCACTTACTGGACCAATCGATTTGAAATTTTCAGGGGTTAAAGATTATTGTTGTCGCTGGTAAGCCATTATTTTTATTTATTTCCAAAATATCTGTGGACTCCATGGGATTCCTTTTTCATTTTGATGTCATCAAAATTTAAAATTGCGCAACTTGTGGCGGTTCAGATTTCAGTAAGCTCGTGGTCAGTGACGTTGGGAGTTTTTTGATAAGGTAGACAACCGGTACTGTACAAAATTTGTTACTACTTCGTTTTTGGCTTTGGTGTCCATATATTTGAGCATTACTCTTGTTTTATTACCGTTGTCTATTGGACATCTGAGTCTCGTTTTAAAATGCAACGTCATCTCAGTGGCCATTAATGTATCATGACTTACGTTTTCCTCTTGTATGCGGCAGCTCTATCATTGTTGTAACGTTTTTTACTTTATTTCGTATTGCTCTCATCGTGAGTTCTCGTTCTCGTCGATCTTCTCTGACTGCGGTTTCTAGGTCTGTCTTGTTTTCCTACAAACGGGGAAGTTTTCGATCACGATATTCTAGTTTATGCCCTACAGTTGGTTGGAAAATATCGCGAAGAAACTGTTTATATATATATATATATAACTCTTTCAAGGTTCGAGGTTGTTTAATATGACAACTATGTGATTGCATATCATATTCAGTATATATACTAGATTTCCCAATTTTACGATATTTCTGTTGTATATATATGTGCTAGGCGTTAGCGTTGTACTAAGCGTTAGAAATACGCTTGCCATCGCTCTCTTATTACCCTGCGTGGGTTCGAATCCCGTGGGGGATAATTATGTGCGAAAGAAATGCTGGAATCCTCGCCGCCGTATGGTGGTTTAAGTAACTGCTGGTCGGTTAAGACTTCCTCCACCATCAAGTCCATGCATCTGAAAGTGATAACTGGATAACTAATCCCATACCCTATCTGACATTGACCGGTAACCCTACTAGTAGCCGTGGTACGCAATATGATCTTATCGGCCTCCCTCTCCCCTGGGAAATTTTTTTTAATTTATATGCATGTATATAAAAAACATTTTCAGTTAACTTTTTATATGGCATTCAGTACAATTCTTTTAGGAATTGATGTTCTGACATTGCGGTGACCATTTCATAGTCAATACATATATATGTTTAACCACCAATCTCTTGTTTCTCATACATTCATGTACACTATTATGTCATGAACAAAAGTAATATTCACCAAGGCTTCGTCTCTTTCAACACTGGCAGATTTTTGTATGTTTCTTAGTGTTTGCAATTCTGTGCGTTGTTCCAAAATTTTCTTTTCCAATTTGTTCAATTCATTGGGGTAAGTTCTTAACTCATCCTTTGAGAAATTGAGATAAATATGCAAAACGTTAATTTCATGTGTAGTTGCCGAATGCGATTGATTGAACGTAAAGAAAACTTACCCCAAGCGCTTTCTGTATTTTGTGATAAACTCCCTGAATTCGAAACGCAGTCGCAGATTTTAGCTTCACTTTATTTATAGAGTTTTCCAATTGCCGTGCTATCTGAAATATTTCAGTCGAAAACGATTTAATTGATCGAATCTGATGAAAAATGCTAATCATGTTTATACCGTAGATATTTCAGGATCAGCTTCAGGGTTTTGCGTTCTTTCATACAGTTTCTTCTCTAGTTCTGTAATTTTGTCCATATATTTTTTCTTAGTATGAGATAATTCATTTAACTTTCTCGCAAGATCACATACTGTGTGATCAAGTTCTTTTATTGCGACCTGAAAAGTAATATTTTTAAAAAGATTACTTTATTATCGACCTTTCAATATATTCAGCCATTTCCATATAGGTTAGATATGAAGTCGAGCAATAATTCCAATTAATAACGATTCATATAGACACTCCGTGTCTAAATTAGTGTATGCTCATGAAAAATCAGTTAGTGTCGCAGCGCGTGACTATTTGGATGCCAAAAACGCTTGAACACAATCTATAAAATCTAAAATGTTTGTATAGAATGAGATGCCTCTTTACAGTTTTATTAAAATTATTATTATACCGAAGCAGTCAATGATAGTATAATATAAGTGCGCTTGTTACTGATATATGCTCATTGATATAATCACGAACGATCACAAGTATAGGAGGGCTAAAAAAAGATGCTTAGTTGACAAACCTCGCTTGTTTTTCCTGTCAGCGCAAGTCGTTGTCGTTTTCTTTCTATCAGAGCTTGATTTACCATAAGTTGATCTATGTCTAAAGCCATTCTAACTGTTTTTCGTAACTGACTATTTTCTATGCGCATTTCTGATATTGCCATATCGTTTTCCCTCATGATTTTTTCGTTTCTCAACTTTTCTGAATATTGTCCGCGCTCTGTAAAATGGGGAAAAAAATTCTAATTTCATTATTATCATTATTGTTGAAACTAGTTATAGTTTTTTCATCTTTCAAGTGAATCAGCAGGTTCAGTATATTACAATAAATACTATTGCGTCATCTTTGTAAAGCGTAATTAAGCCGTTCAATCCGCAACGTTGTTTTAGAGATGCGCGGTGATTTTGATGATCTTGGGGAAGAAATATCATTTTAATAGTTGATGTAGTTTCACAAATATTGTTCACTCATTGAGTATTATTGTAATAGTTATTTATGGATATGTTATAAAAAAAACTATTCCAACTCCACAAAAGTCGGACTACGAGTTATGCGTAGCTACTATGTTTTCTGAAGAAGTGAACGATCTATGATGAGTACCTAAAAAGGAAATCAAGTGAAAGTGTATACTTACTTTTGAGACACCCTGCATATACATTATTATGATTACACTAGGTGTGGGTGCAAAAATGATGTGGCTAAAACAGCTTAGTATTGAACTTTAAACGGCAAACCTTTCATTTTAATTTTTCCTCTGAGTTCCTTTATTTTAAACCTTATTTCGTCATCCTTTTCATTTGTATTATCTGGATGAGCTTGCTTTCCAGAAGCGTTTATGCTTATTCTCTTGAGATTGGACATGCTTCTCGGTCTAGTTTTTGATTCTGTTAATTGCAAACATAAATTGCTGCAGGATTACACGTCACGCAGTTCGCACTGCGGCTCATTCAAGCAAAATTATTAGGGTTGATGAAAGTGGGGCAGAGAATTTACTTTATAGGTTATAATAATAAAAAAATATATATTCCAGAAAAATAAACATCTGCTAAAGAGCTAATTATTGCTGGAAGAAGGAATATGCGCCCAAAAATATATTATGTACGGTCCCACCGACCAAGTCGAAAACAATGTCGGGCTTTTTACAAAGAAGAAGTATTTTAATAATCACGATAACCCTTCGGCGCGGATTGGTTAAAGAAAATAGATCTTAAAAACGGGTGCTTTCAAAATGAGAGGCAAATCAGACGTCTCTCACACAGACCCTACAATTATGTCGGGTAAGTGAAACATGGTCTCAATCGGGGAAGTTTCATATCGAAGTGGTGATTTTTCTACCCTTTCTGATGGATACTGAAAAACGTTACTTTATTCTTAAGTGCATGGACATTTACTACCTTCGCTTTTTTCCTTGTACTTGTGTTCCGACGATGTCCGACATTCACAGGCGTTCAAATTCCTTCACTGGATCTCTCTCTGGATTTCCGTATATCCAGGGCAGTACAAATCCCCCCATTATGATAAACTACCAAATCGTTCATCTCAAAATGACCAAATTCATTTCTATACTTCACCACATTATTATGACGTCACAGTTGAAATATCGTTTGTTAAAATTTTGATTTTATTTATAGCACTTAAGACTTTTAATACAGAACTTCGAATTACATAAGCAAAATATCAGTAACACAAGAATAAAAAACTAACGTTTTATTATTTTATATAAAACAAAAAAATTAATGTACTTAAGAGGTCCATCTTGTGGTACTCCAATTCCAAAAGTGATAGTAATGAATAACGGCTCCCAGACTAACAAAAACGATGATATAACTAACGAGTACTAGAAAGTGAAGAAATGAACTGAACCAATTTATGTTCAAATCCATTGATTGTACGCGTTCAAATGGATCGCTTAGATTTATGAATACAGATGAAAAGAAAGCACATGAGCCATGAATAGCCAGTAGTACAACACATGGGTGACAGGCAAAATTTTCGATAAAAGAAGTAATTTCTATTATTAACATGTGTATCACATAATTTTTCCAAAAACATTAAATTTATCAGACGTCGTTTTTTGTTTGTTTTCAGAAATATTGCATTTTATTTTCCCAAAATATGTTGCAAATATGGAAACCATTTTTAGGGTATTTAGATTATCAAACAACTTAGTCGTCTATGTTGAATATTCCCATACACATGTGAAAATGTATGGCACAATTGCAACTAGTGAAAAGTTCAGCACCGAGTACTCGTTCGTCCGTTATACAGAGGAATATATATGAAATGAAACAAAAGTTCGATGGAATAGTGCAATTGCTGGGAACTTAAAATGGTAGATGTTAGTATTATTATTTATCAATATAAGAAAATGAAATAAAAACAATAAGCACCTTATGAAACAAAGGTCAAAATTTAAACTGTACATAATAAAATGCAAGGGTAATCTCAAAATAAAAGCAAGATAAAAAATATAGCGATTTATAGAAATTACATATATCTTTTCTGTATTGTTGAACATGATTGTAAACATCTCACAAGAATTACACCAAACAAAAAACAAAATGAAAAAATGTTGAGAAAAGAACCAGAATGTTGCGCCAGAATATATAAAAAAGATAATGGCCAACATATTACACATAGATCTCCAAATTCCAAAATAGAGTTACAGACTTTGAGTATGTTGGCAATGCAGGAATACAGAATAATTACATTCGTTTGCAAATCATAAAATGCAAACCCAACAAGCCACCAATGCAAGCAATCTAATTTACCGTAATCTGTTTATTTATACAGTTTTATGTTGCCTTTCCAATAACATACCTCATTCATAGCCAATGTTTATTCCAACACTTCCACTCGACAAACTTGGTGATTATATAAAAAATACTAATCCTAATTTGAATTATTGCTTCACTTGACTTTGGACATCTAATGTAGAGTAGAGCGTTTATTCCTGGGCAGCTTCTGATAAACAAGGATCATTAGGACCTGAAAGTTTCTCTGACAATCTTGGTGTTGATACCCTGGGACCACATATTACAGATACTGCGGCAGAAGGTGTTGTGGTCGCACTACTGTCATCAATGTCAGTAATCTTGCTGCAGTCGCTCGTAGATGTGCTTGCAGTTGAACTTGTACTGAAAAAGGGGCGATTTTATTACATATAAAAAATGTAGATAGAGTAAGCATTACCAAAATGTGTTAAAATCTGAAAAAGTATTGCCGAAAAAGTTTGAAACTCATTTCATCATGATGTACAAATTAGATACAGAAACTCTCAGTGTGAATTTTCAAATCTAAAAAAAGGGGATGTGAACGAATGTTAGTTTTTGTAAAGAGTACCAGCTGACTATATATAAATAAAATGACATTTGAGAGTGCCTATCACTTAAGGCCAAAATATTGAAGCCTCGGATAGAATATTGTAACTAATGGTATAAATTAATAATTCAAAAGTAAAATATTAATATTTTAGTGAAATAGAAAAAATTTGTGTCAATCAATTTTGTTGTTATCCAATTGATGATCATATATCTATATTATTTATCTGTCCATTCTCGAATTTCCTTTATGTTGAATCCTCATCATATATTACCAAGGCAGTGTTTCTATACAAACTCAAGCCATTTATAAAAAACACTGTGAATCTGATATCGATCTGTTTTGTCACAAATTCAATGGTGAAAAATGATTCCAAAAACAGAATCTAAATTTTTCCAAGTACCGTTGATATTGACATTTTATGTATATTTTAGTCTATAATTTGCCCCAGAACAAACAATTTCTGATTTCTAAGCGTAAGCACATACCTTGATGAAGTGCTAGTTAAAGACTTGGGATCATCTGAACCTTGTGTTGTAGCTGATGTTGTCGGCGGCGGTGGGAATTGAAACACGAGCATATTTTTCATTATTGCTGATTTTAGAAGTGAACTGCTGCCAACTGGGGCACCGAATCTTTGCAATACCATAATGGGAGGTGTTCCACCAGTACTACTGCAAATAAATAAGTAGTAGGATAGTGTTACTTTACTAGGATTTTTTTAGTTTCAGTTTAGAGTCTATTTTAAGCGGGGTTCCACATTATCAATATTGTTATCAACGTTAAAACTACATTAAAAAAGGTGCTATATGATTTAACAGAAATAAAAGTAATGGTTTCCCATTAAAAACACAAGTCGTATGATACATAGGATAATTTTGTTGCGTAATAGGTCAGTTCAGAAATTAACACTGAAAACAGTTGCATGAAAAGAACCAAAACAATCAAATGTAGATATTCCTCATGATATTTTGTATTAAAATAATATCAAATGCATTCATTTTATCATATCCCAAAAAGGAAACAATTTCTGATTGAATATTGCATACTCAAGATATCCCAAATTCTCATCTACTAACGACTGTAACAAGCAAGACTAAGATACTAATTGATGGATTATGAAATATTTATTACCTGCCAGCAGACAATGGCGACTGAAGCTTTGATCCTTGATGACCAGGTCCAAACGGTGGACGCATCATGGGGTAAAAAACTACAGACGGAGAATTAGGACTGTGTTGAGATGGACTGACCAAATGGATCATTGTTGGAGTCTGTAAAATATGTGATTGGGTTTAAATATTCGGATTTCTAATAATGAATAAAGAAGACACAGAAGGGCAAGTTATTTTCTCATTAAAAGATGAGGTTCTTTTAGTTTATCAATGTGCCATTAGAACACATGATGAAGGTGTAGTAGGGCTTTGACAAAATTTTATAGTCTTCAATTACGAACAAGGCTCTGCACAAGCAGCCATTAATACTATAGTTTGGAAAAACCCTAATTTTTCTGGTTCGGCATTGCCTAACCAATTTAGTACACCCGGGGTGAGACGATTGGCAACCACAGCGCCACCTGCCCCGATAAAAAAAATAGATTGCAAAACACTTGAAAATGGTTAAATTTCATAAAAAAAAGTTTTTGATATTAAGAATTTAGAACATTTTATTCATAAAAATGTGATTCTGCACAATTCACATCTGATGTTCAGACCCATTGGACAAATTATCTTCAAACAACTGTAAACAACGAATTAATACAGTGGGTGTTAACTTTTCTGTTCTATGAAAACCGATCTTTATCATGAAATCAACAAAATTTCTCTGTTGAAAATGACCCAATTTAGAATATGATCAATATGAACATATCTAAACAGACTTTATAGGGGTGTGAAAAGAATGCATCCACTAACCTGTACATTGGGGTTGTCAATATTCGTATGACCAAGGGCCAATGGTTTAGGAAAATCCTTCGGACTTCCTGTACTTTTTTTTCTTGGTTTTCGTTTAGGAGGTGATGGATCAGTCGCTACATTTTGTTCTTTCGGAGCGTTCGTTTCACTGACATCGGTGTCCGATGTTGTGTTACTCGAGATAGTGGCCGCTGACTTATTCGCCGAAGCACTGGCCTTTCTTTTATCCTTCGACTTTTCGTCCTTAGGTGGCTCCACAACAATAACAGGGACATTGGTTTCTTTGGATTCAGCTTCTTCAGTAGGCTCCTTTTGTGTTGATGTTTTAGAACCGGATGAATCTTTATCTGACCTCATTTTTTTAGGGGGAGACGATAGCATTTCCAATGGAACTAATGCCATGGGTCCACCTGTCGTTGAGGGACTTGTACAAGGCTGGTATAGTATTTTTGATCCAGTTGGTGATGACTTTGTTGGCGTACATAGAACGTAACCGCGAGGAGGAGCTCTAACGGAAGAGTGTGGACCTGGGTATAGTCCTGGCATTCCACTCGTTGGAAAATTAAATATTTGAGAGCCTTCGGACGTCGGTACTGAACTAGCGCTATTGAGAGTCAAACTGGGTGTGACCACTTTGAGATTGGACGGAGTTTGCAAACCGCTTTCTTTTCCAGTTAGCGCAGGAGAGGGTGGTACATTCATTTCACCCAAAGGTAGGGTCATCGATGACCTCTTGGACTTGTGACGATCCTTTGTGATTTTTGTAGGTTCTTTATCAGATTTATCATTTTCATTAATCCCATCTGACTTCTGTGATTTGTCTTGTTGTTTATCGACAATCTTTTTACTCGGCGACTTAATTTCTTGCGTATTCGTTGATGGCTTATTTGGAGTCATGAGCCCACCTTGGGGCATAAATGTGAAGAATTGTGGTGTGTTGGAACTTAGATTGGATGGTGAAATTCTTCGAACAACAGTAGAGCCACTAGGAGTAAGAAACGGTGCGGAATGTAGAAAAACTGGAGTATTGACTTGCTGTGATGAAAATGGAGTTTGCTGACGAGGTCCTTGTTCTTGACCTCCCCCTGTAGCTGAAGGAAACAATGACGGTGTGACAAGCTGCAAAAATGACGGTGTTTGAGAATCATATGGATTTCCAAGGACCATAATATTTCCATCTGGCATTGGCATATTTTGCCCACCTAAGATTCTTGGAAATCCGGGAAAGCTTGGCTTTTTTGGTGGAGAAATCTTGGTTTGAGTAGTAGATGTTTCTTCTTTTTGTCCTGTTGTATCTTTACTCTCCACTTCCTTAGCAGACGCTTTAATTTCTTCAGTTTCCTGTCCATCGTCATCTGACGGAAGTTCTTCCATTGTTACATCGTTTGCTTTTTCATCTTCTGGCGTCGACACAGCAGATGGATTCAACTGTTTTCTCGGTCGTCTTCGTCGTTGTGCTATAGCAGATTCAGTAGGTACTGAAGCAAATTCACTCGGTTTTCGAAAAGCTGAGCAATTGACGCCTTCGTTAAAATCCTTTGGTGTGAAGCAATGAAATCTTAAACTTTTTGCCGACGGGGCACCGGACGAAACTGATGATTTTGAACCCGAAGAACTTGACGAAAAGGAAGTTTCAGTAAAAGCTGTTGAGTTCTCAGGAGTGCCAGGCGAAGCCTCAAGCTTTCGTTTCATCGGACCAGATTGTAGTGATTTCACCGGGGACTCAGTTGGTGTTTTTAGATCTTGGTTCGGAGTGTTAAGTTGTGATGTAGGGGTGTTCAAAGGCTGCTGCGTTGGAGTATTTAATGCTGTGTCATCAGATGCATCGCCGACAGGACTTGGAATTGTCGAGTCATCATGCCAATGTGTCGCATCAAACCCAATGAAGGGAACTTTGTCTTTTGCCTGGGACCTGTCTTGCTCACCAGGTTGGGATATACCTCTTAGTGTCAGAGTGGGAGTCTTGGATTTTTCTTCACCTGGCATCTGCGAAATATTTTCATCTTTGTCAGTCTTATTCTCGGTATCGTCTGTTTTAGTTTCTCCGTCTGCAACAGGGAAAGGTCCAGGCGTTTTTGGACTGTCTTTTGGATTTTTGGTCTTCACTCTCTTAGTATCTGACACTGTTTGTCCTTGCAATCTAATAGCCGCCCTCCTTCTACTGACATGGGTAGGCGGAAAAAGGAAAATGTTTCCATCCATATGTTGACTGTTAGTTGATGAAGCTGAAGTACTGGCATCTTCTTTACCGGTATCAGCATCCCCCGTGTCAGGAATAATGATTACGGGTGTTATGCTCGGAGTTAGTGGGGTAAATGGGGTGAGTACAATATTGGGGCTATCAATCGTTGCTCTCAATCTATCCCTGCTAAATCGTTTCACCCGAGTGCTAATAGACGCACAACGTTCTTCATTATCGTCTTCGGATATTGTACGATTATCTTCTTGTTTACCGGGCCGTGTTGTAATGGGCCCTAATTTTGGCATTTCTAGTGGTGGTGGAGCAGGTTTGGGCTCTGCATTGGCAGTTTTCTTTGGAATAGGAGCTAGGGGTGGTACCTTGGGAACAGTAGGTTCCTCATTGACGCCAGCACTAGCAACTCTCGCTCCAAATTTATTTGACAAGGCTTCTCTGATTATATTTGGTGTGACAATTTCTTCTCCTTCCTTGTCTTCAGACTCATCATGCTCTGCGGTTTTTTCGATCTCCGAAGATGATTTATTAAGTCCTTGTTCATAAGGTTGTGGATAAACACCCGGAACATTAGAAACGAGTTGTGGTTGTTCACGAATTTCAGGAATTTCTTTATTTGTTTCATCGGTATGCTGCCAAGTGTCAGTGCTATTGGCTTTATCTGTATTAACTGTAGCAGGATGCATTGGACCTATTGCATATTGTGATCCGTAACCATGAAACTGTGAAGCGTCGTACATGAGATGGGACTGACCTTGTACTTGTTCCAAGTTTATATTTGGTGGATACTGCTGAAGTGCCCAAACAGGCCATTGCTGGCTACCTAAAGTATTACGAGTGTCAGTATGATGAGAATTATCAACGTTTTCAGATTGGTTAGGCATTGCCCAAGACCCAAGATTGACAAATTGGGCTGCTCCATTTGCATTATGAACAACTGCTAATGGTGTTAGAGCAGCTCCACTAGGCAGATGCATTGCTCCACCATCTTGATTTTCAATTTTCGCGACGTTTGTTGCGTCTGATTTTTCATAATCACCAGCAGATGGTTCTTGATTCGTAAGAGGCATAGGGAAAAGAAAGCGTTGTGGCTCTTGGCCACCGTGTCCTTCACCATTTCCATCACCCTGATTTTTACCCTGAGGGAGATAGGGTGTTTGCAGCAACTGTATAGGTGTCAGTTGTTTCAGACCTTGTAAATCACTAGGAGTAAAGCCCTTGTCACCTGGGATAGGACTGAAAATATACACAGGTTGCCTAGGATAGCCATAAGAATCACTATTCTTCATTTCATCAGAATTTTCCATTTCTTCCCCTTGTTGTGACAAAACAAAAGGGGTTAGACCCTGAGGCATACCATTATGGAAGAAACTGCCATCATATCCGTTATTAGGAGCAGCTGCAATGTAATAATGTTGTCCATACATTTGGCCTGAATTAAAAGCCATGCTGACTAGGTCGTTTTGATTCGTAGTATCCATTTGATGACCATTATAACCATCTATCCTTCCCTCTATACGAGATCCTTGGTTGTACGGAGGAGGATCTGAAACAGTAGGTGCTTGTTGATGCTGGGAACCTGCAGTGTGTAGTATTACACTGCTCCTGGCTGTACTTTGTCCAGCGTGTTGTTGAATCATAGCTCTAGAGTCCGCATTTTGATCTTTCATAGGGTGGGCATTGTTTGCATATGATGGTTGCTGCTGATTAAATTGCTGATTTGTTTGAATACCGGTGGGGTTTGCTGGTTGATATGGCGATGCAGTCATAGTTCTAGGTGGCAGCTTTCTTGATCTGTTTTGAAATTGTACGTTGTCTTCATCTGCACGAGTACTGTACATTGTAGACTGAGTGTGAGTTTGTGCTGCTCTGTTCTGACTGACGTTTTGATATTGACATGAATTTGTGGACATTTGTGTGACATCAGGTGTATTTCGATTTTTATCCGTGTGAAGGTTATGTGAATAAGCAGCGCCAGGCATGACCGCCTGTACGACACCGAATATCGGTTTATCAGTATTAGACATTCCATAACCCCTCGCTGCCATCATATTATTACTGTTATTCAAATTAGTTCCGGGCCATTGCGCAGATGCTGTTTGTTCTCTCGCTTCAGATGGCCCTTGTTGAGCATAATGAGATAATCTTTGCGAATTGCCATTTACCACAGCAGAATACATAGCATCGGTATTGTAATGATTTGGTAGGCCAAAGTTTTGCTGCTGCATTTGAACATTGTGGCCGTAATATGCCCCATAAATGTTTCCATCTGTATGCATCATGTCTACATCTTGGAAATCAGGTATTTCTGTCTTTGGTGTTATTTTCGTTAGGGGTTCGGACTTCTGTTTGTTCTTAACTTTGTCCTGTAAATACATGGCAGTGTATTCAAATTCTGTGCAAAAATCACAATGGGATTAAATAGGGAATGGTACATATCCTGGCGGAAATCAAACAATTTGCAAGGATGATCGAATACAAAGAAAACAATGGATGGCCTCAGGATATATTAAGCATTCAGAATATTCATAATAACTTCCTGTATTATATAGAAGATAAGCAGCCAGGTATATATTCTAGAATTTTGCTTTGATTTCCAATGAAGCTCTTTTAATTTTTAATCATTATATAAAAAATTTGTTAGAAATCATGATTTACCTACCAAAAATGCATCAATGGTCAAAAACGAGAGAAATTAACTATTTTAAATTGCATTCGTTTCGAATTTTGTTTGAACATGTAGACATTCGTGAAGGTTTCCTTCATAAGCAAAAATATTCAAAGGCATATAGTTCGAATAAAACTTATTATCTGTATTAAAAATGAGATATTCATTTATGCCAAATTTATTCGAACCAGGAATGAAAAAGACTGACTGTATATATTGGATATTTTCTCAACGTGGTCAACAAAAAATCATAGAAATCAATATATATCCAAAGAATCTGGTTGAATTTGGATATGAGTGGAAATTAAGGTAAACATTGATTTGATTGGCTTTCTATTTTTTATTTTAAGGAATAAAACGAATCTTTCTAAGTCAAACTATGAGACATTAATTTTAAATTGTGTTTTCAAAAAGAATTCTTTGTATAATTTAAAACTGCCTGATAAAAGATAAAAATATTACATACCTTCCAATATTTTTTAAGTCCGTGTTCTGGAAGTGATTGTGGATCTTTCTTCAAGTGATCTCTTACTCGCCGAATCTTCTTGAAACTACATCCTGTGACCCAGTGAACGAGATTCTGGCAAAAACTGCTTTGGCCATCGAGAGATGCTAAACAGATAAGATGGGAATTACAACAATTAAATAAATCACATTACAATATCTAGAGCAGTGCTTCACACACTTACATTAACCACGAACCCCGTTCAAAGACTCCGAATTAACACTTGTAACCCTTGCTGATAACTAGTTTTGCTCTTAACGCACATGTCATAAGTTATTTTGCGAGCCATTTTTAATAAAAAAAAACAAAAGCGAAATAATGAGTGAATTACAAAGAATTAAATAAATTACAGTTAAATTATATTTCAAAATTAATGAGAACCAGTTCATGGTCCCTTGGTGGGTCGGAGTCTCGACTTGGCAAACGTTATTCTAGAAAAAGAAAAAAAATTGAAACTTCCAGTGTTCTGAGGTTCTACCTGAGAAGCACGGAAATATATTTATTCAGCCAATTCTCACATTGCCAAACAGCGAATGAAAATGAAAAGAGGGAACAAGCATTCCAACAATAATAATTGATAATGGCAGCAACATTCCGAAGGCATGAAATTTTGAATATACATACTTGATGAAGCTCTTAATACTTCAGCAACAATTTCTTGTGCGACACGTTGTCCACTGCCTTCCAATCTTTTTCTCCAATCCTCGATTTTCTCAAAATTTTGTGCAGCAAGACGACTTATACAGTTCCTTCCACAGCATTGATTCTATAGGAATAATTATGTTTAATCAGTATCAGCGTACAATATCTATAATTAATAACAATAAAACAGGCCTTTTCTTTAACGAGATGGTCGGGATGGGATGCAAATAAAGCTAGTGCGATGGGGCACAAGATATTGCCCCTCGTTAATATTAAAATTCCTTTGATTGAATTCACCTGTGATTTTATCTACGATTCACATTTATTTATTCAGTGTTTCGTTTTCACCATGACACCCCTCTGTTGTTTGTAGCAATGTATTCTTATATTTTTTTGTTCACCAATGTCAAGAAAACTTACATTTCCGTTGGCCTTTCTTCCCATTTCTCTCAACTCCTCCAGAGGGATAAGATGTCGAGGAGCTTTCGATGCTCTTTCAGCTTTATTTGTTGCCACTAACCTTGAAGTTTTCTGTAATCAATTTTGAAATAGTTAGAATTGTTGTAAATTTTTTTTTCAAAAATGAGAATGAGTCCGCCTACACAATTTATTCCACGCTGGGTGAGGTAGTGGGTACCATACTTGAATTAACATGTCAACCACTAAGCTACAATTACCTGATCACCTGGGTTTATATATTCTTACAGGCTAAATCTCTTCAGGATTTCGTAGAAATCATAAATTTGCAGGTGACATTAATAAGGTATATAAGAAGTTATTATTCTGTGGGAACACTTTTTCTGTTATATTCATCACTTCGCTACATGTGAAATTAGACATAGGTCTAAGTTTATAAGAGGAAAATTCAGTGGATAACAAATAATATTTCCGTTAGTCTTAGCAATGATGGCATCGCATGTTAGAATCTCTGGTTCAGGGTGCCGACTCGGTAAGATTCACCCTACCCAAAGCAGGTAGCTCCTTACATTTTAGTGCCTGCTTGTGAAGAGCATTGTTCAGAGTGGAAGCGTGGCATTAAAAAGTACGGCTTACCTGGGGATTGGTTCTCAGTTTTTTGTAAAGAAAATTGATGGAATATCCCAGAAGTTTTTGAGCCGCTTTCTCACACAATGCGTATTGGTTTCGAAGTCTTGTTCTCATTTGTAATACATAGTCTTCATACTTTTTTGATCTCTTGCGTCCATTTCCAAGTCCGATCATGCCTCTGTAAGTCAAGTTTAATAGTGTCACAAATTAAATAGTTGTAATTAATGAAACATAATTGCCAGAATGTTTATCTATAATAACTAAACATATGCAAGACTGATATGCAGCAACCACGAAACTTTACGTCCTTCAAGTTATTTTTTTATTTGTAAATGCTTTTAACATATAATTGTGAAAAGGAAAGACAATATCGCCCAGTGAGCAATAATTATTGTGGGTGTGATTGCCTAGCTTACAGGTGTGCAACCTTTAATACAGGAGGGACAGATACAAATGACTGGGTAAAACAGCAGGCCGCAACTTTATTTATTAACATATGCTTACTAGTAGTTGCAGGCACAAATTTTGTTTATAGATCTTATGGCATGTGTTGTTCGCTTCGCACAAGCTAGCTGACAGGACATTGTATTTGTAACGTCATATATGCATAGATAATAAATTGGACCCAGGTATAAGGGATTGGAATGACTGGAAAGGAATTGAAATTAAATTCAAATCCCATGCCTACCACCTCCACCTGTACAACCCTCTTTTAAAAGAGAAAGGTGTGAATATTCGTATCAATTTTACTCATGGTATAGCCTATATAACATTTGGAAATTTCAAATGAAACAATCTTATTAAAGTAAATAAACTGCAACAAAACTTTGACGTTTTTTTCTAGGAGTCACAATTTTTCCATAAAAAATCTATCTATGATAATATCACCTCAATTCCTTGAGTGATTTTCCTTCAACTTCTACATTATTGAAAGCGTAACATTTCTCTTTTTTCAATTCGGCAGCATGCTCATACACAGCGACTAATTCTGTGGCTCTGTTGAGCTGGATATTTCCTAACATTGATTGGTCCTGAGCAGAAACTGCTACTGGATCACTGAAAAGAACCAAAAAATATTATCTATATAGATTAAAGTTAGTGGCACAAGATAGCAACAAGTCTTCTGTGTTTTGCTGATCAGTAACTTCACAACAAAGAAAAAATTAACTGATAAACAAAAGCATTGAAATAATTTATGACTTCCTAATGATAAATTCAATAAAAAAAAGTTACAACATAGGCAGCATAAATACAATGTGGCAAAGAATCAGATTTGGAAACCTTCAATAATGCAAAATTTACAGTAATATTAGCCCACTGAACTTTCTATCCAACTTATCTCTAATATGTTTTAAATATCTTCAGTTGGTCAATAATATCACAGGTAGCTAGCTGAGTTGCACTCAGATGTCTTGAGTTTAGTTCAGTTAAGATCAACTCATGTCACGAATCATGATCCATCAAACTTCCGTATATTATTATAATTATGAGTAGTGATAGATAATTACTTAAGCAATGTCAATTTACACTTATTAAGGTAATAGGAAATGATGGTTTGCTGTGAATATATTATGATACATTTGATATAAAATAAAATAACATCAAAAGCAAAAATATCCAATTTTGTATAGAAGGAACAGCGCAAAAGTTGAATACTTTCTCTTCATAATCATATGTCTACACTAGTTTGATTGGTATTAATAAACATCATACAGTACTGCCTTTATGATTTGTTATGGTATGCATTGCAATATCTATTTTTATTCTGGTGCCTAATACCCAACAATATAGAAGACTCATTGTACAGTAGACGCATACATCTTTAACCTTATTTACAGAAATAAGACTATTGTATTGTGTGTATGCCTCAATGCCTGAATAATCAGAGTTTAGTGAAAGGATACCACTGTGTTATAGCAGACAATAAGATTTTTTGAATCAATAAATATATACTAACATGTCATCTGCATTTCTTAATTGTAGTTTTGAATTCTCTTTCCAGTTTTCTCCACCAAGAATATATTTCCGAATGCATCCGCACGGCTTGCTATACGTTATGCAACACTGTAGCATTATGCCTGAAACAAGAAAGCAATGCTCGAATACATGAACACAAAAGTTACCCATCAGTACAGTATGGTAAGGCCTGGGAGCAAATGGTCCGAATTAGGAGCAATACAGAATAAAATAGTGTTCCCCGTCAATAATTAAAAGAAAACATTGAAATGTTTGGTGGAATGACAGATCTCATACGACTTAGTGAAATAGAGTAATAGCTTTCTAGTGTCTTCTTCCATCTTTCAGTGCTAAAAATTTGAAATTGACTGCTCGCTAAATTGAAGAGAAAAGCTGTATAACTGTCAACAAATCCACTTTGTGTTCAATAACATTATTATATTATCGATTCGATATTGCAATTTACATTGCTAGTTCATGTCACACAACTATGTAAATTAACATTGATAGAAGGTTGGGAAGCCACATACATACCAATTACTGTATGCAAGATACGTTTTATTAGTGAGCTTAGACAAGCGTCATTATAGACAATTTACATTGGTAGCCTTGTATTGTATTGTATATACTAATGATATTCATAAAGATTATCAATAACACCAGAGCTCGAAATGAATAAACAGTTACGTATTTTTAATAATAACTCACCATGTTCATTCTCAAGAGCTTTGGCCAAGTTTTTGGCAAACTCATTTTGAACTTCGCTGTGTGCATGCTTCAGGCTTTCTTGCTTTATACCAGCTGGCTTTAAACTCTGCATCTTTTGAGAATGTTTCCCTTGATAATAAATAGAAAAATTGTTATTGAATTTATACCAAATAAGTTTATGTCAAAGAAGTCTAGAACAGATCAAACATATACCAAATCAGTTATATTCAATGTTTATATGGTAAATTCTAGATTTTCTGGGATACTAAATTATTATAATCGAAAAAATGGCCCCATCATACACAAAGTCAAAAACAAACTTTAATTAAATGGATAACTGTACAAAAAAATAGACATCATTTGTAATAAATTACATTTCTTTGTAATTTTTGACTAGTTGACCATGATGCAACATTTATCCAAAATACATATGACATACTTGAGGTGTAGCCTACCTATCTATATACATCAAAAACATTCCGTGACATGAATACATTTTTGCCAGATATTACAGAGTAGTAGCTAGTTTCGACTATAATTGGTACAAAACTATCAATATATACATTAGGTCTATTTACAAAATTTCTACAACTAAATGCCAACACATTTCAACCAAGAAGACAATGTTTTCAATTAACTACCAGAAGTGACAACTGCATTAGATAAACAGATATTTCGATTACCATGTTTCAAATCCATTTTCATACAATAAAAACCAGTATATTGCATTCCATTAAATTCTTATACTGACTGAATTACAAAAACTGCACCAAGGAGCTTATTACAAATCACAATCAATGAGAATAGAATAAAAAATAATATTATTTTATGATAGTGATAATGACTTTCAAGTATCATTGGGAACACAATTATCCATTGGTTAAAGTAGATCAAAGTTCAAAAATGATTGAAAGATAATATTTCTTCATGAGACACATGGAACTATTGGAACATATAGGGTGTCCCCATGATGTCTTAAAAATTTTTTAAATGGAATTTATCGATACCATATATATATATATTGTTTTGGCACTCACAGATGTGTTAAATGAAGTAAAAATACTCATTAAACAGCTACTGATTAAAAACAACAAACCTGGTTAAGATATATTGGAAACTGGCTTCATAACAAAATTGAAATTGCAAAAGGACTTTATGGACCCCTGTATTATTAGAACGCTAATTTTCCTGTTGAATTGAGCTGTAGAACTTTCATGAAAATTAGTCATTTTTTCTATAGGACCATCTTTCATAATTTTACACCAACATTCATAATATAAAAATAGCAATTCATATATCTTCATTATTGAATTCAAATTTCTTGAAAGTGAAGTATTTGAACACTACTTTACACATAAAAAATCAATATTGAACAGTGCATAAGAGATTTTCTCCTCTCTCTGTTTACACTGGTAAATCAAATATTGTGCAGTCATTCATTACCCTTTTCAGCCACAGAAGTTAACTAACACTTTAACCTTCATTGTGTTTTCTAGTAGAAAAACTTTCCCAACAATCCCAAGTATCAGACATAGATAAAGGCAACATGATTATATGGTTTATGAGTGTCTCATACTCGGTTGAACAAGTTTATACAAATGGGTTAATAATAAATACTGACACTGCTTAATTTGGTTTGAAATTTGCAGCGCAGAATTTCAGGATTAGGATAATCGTATACAGGTATTTTGATTTAGTGGTGCGAGACGTCAGGAGAAAAGCTCTCCCAGGTATCAATTTCAAAACCAGACATTTGGTTCGTTTATTACCACTCAAGCAAAAACGAGACAACAACGGTGTGCGCACATGGTTGCTCTCTCCGGTTCGTGACACTAGGGAATTTCATAAATACATGTCAAGTTTGCTTTTCATGCTGCCATCGGCTTGCTACAGTACGTTTCTCCTAATATCTTTTCACTCACCAGGCTCTATGTTGTTTGCAAAGGTTTCAGTGAGTGATAAAAAGCTTGTAGATCCACTCGTACTAAATTTTCGACGTTTTTTCGTATGCTTTAACGTTGGGGATTGATTTTTGTGACAAGCGTTGCATCCCAATTGGGAAAAAGTACCTAAAAATAAATAACAAATTCTCAGCATTTTTCAACCGAACATAAAACAACAATCTTATTAAAATCTTACAGATACTCAAAAAGATGTACACAATATTATAAAAAACATTAAAATTAGTGTCGGCTGCAGTAATAAAACTGAGTAAACATGTTACCCTGTGAATAACGTGTCATCATTAATAAACAAACTCACACAGAATAAACCAGTCATCTCATTTGAAAAAAGAAGAATATTATTAAATGTAAGTCAGGTTTAAATATATTGTTTAACTCATCTTACTATTAAAAGGATAGCAAAAAAAAATATCAATTAAATATAAATGATAAAAAGATGTATAGTAAAGCACTGCACAACCTATTGTTCATTTAGTTCAAATTAAACTTACATTCACACACTTATGAGTGAAAAATCAGCAGATAAATTAACAAGTGACACAGATACTAAACAGATAAGTACTTTTAGGCATAATGCCGGTATAATTATATTACCGGTATTGATAAAATTACCAAGATATTTTACCCTTCATCATTGGACCATTTACTATGACGTGATAATATCAACTAAATCGCAAAACAAAAACAATAGCCATGATTTAAAATATATTAACACATTTTAATAATAATCCAAATAGTTCTAAACGAAATGTAACACAGAAATATCATATTTTCAACAAGGTATGATAAAAAGATGAAACTGTTCAATTAAACTATGTGATTCAGGAATATGGACATCAATAAATATTTAAATGTTAAATGAGTCAGTTATATAATGATTCTTAGTATATATCCATACAGGTCATGCATAACCACGAAAATAAGAAAATGGAATTTTGACAGGAGCACAATTTTAGAACATTCATGAAGGGATTAACTAAAAACCCAATATTTAAAAATATAAAGACTGTTGCAAAGTCACTAGAAAGCAAAGGGTCAATTTGTAATCAGTAGAAATCAGCAACTATGCGTTGAAATGTGACTAAAAATGTATGAAAGCTGATGCCCCCAGGGGAGATTATAAGCATGTAATCTCACGCTGAGGAAGGAGAAAACGTTGTTTGTTGTTAAGGCTTTTTTTCTCTTTAATATATCGATATGAGAATTTATATGTCTAACAATATTCAAGCACACACTATTTACGGTATGCCATACCAAACTACTTAATTTGAAATTAACTAATTCAAATTTTAATTATTTTTGTAGTCTACTTCATTTTCATCGACTTGATACAAACAAACAGCAAAAAATACTAAATGTTTTAAATGCAAAGCAAAATGAGATTCACTTATAGGAAACTTGAAATTCGATAGAAAATTCAATGTAACAATATAATTTATGTCATTTTACCTATGTTTAAGAAGATTCCTCTATTATTAAACATGACATACATGGTGTCTCAAAAAAAACATAACTCATTAAGTTAGGCTGATTGTAATCAATAGTTAAAGTAATCGAAGAAGCTTTGCACAAAATTTATATTCGCTAGTTCTAGTGCTGTAGAATGTTTCAAACCTGGGTTCCGTTTTTATGAATCACCCTGTACATCCTAATAATGCTAATTTCAAGTGGTTTATTACATCAAATCCATGGAAATTTTATAAATTATACAATTACAATGCTTTGTACCAAAAGTGAGTGCATGTCTCTAATTATAATTTGTTTCAACCCATAACAGAGGACTAGAATTATCAAAAAGATGTGTTGTGTATTGAAATTGAAAATTGTATGAATTGTATTGAAAATTCTTTATCTACCTTAATTTATTTTATTTCTAATCTCCAAATCAATATGTTGTATTTTATATAATTTGTGTTGTAGCTTCATTCATGACTGAGATAAAAAAAAAAAAGTAAAAAAATAAATGAAAAATTAATCATTTTAAAAATCAAATTCACACTTCGGATAAATAAATTATATTATTTATTAAACAGAAATCATTCAGCATCTCCTAAATTTTTAAAACTAAATATATGTGAACTTTTTGAATTTAAATTTTAATTAAACAAATCTACTTGATCAGATTCAGGTTAAATACATGTCTTAACACTAAATCAAATGATCTGGAATGTGCACTTTCACCACCTTTGTTTATAATTGACCTCGTCTGTCTATTTCTCCTATAAACACGAATACTTGAAGAGTGAACAAGAATTATCGATTATTGTAAGAAGAGACAGTTTACATTAAGATTAAGATCAGATAGCTTTCGTTTAGTCTGCCCCAAACCTGATAACCAAATAATCAAGAAAATTTATTGGTAAAATTCGAATTCAAAAATGATAAAAACGAAAAATTTTGAAAAAATATATCTTAATAAAATATACATAGGCTATTTAAATTTTTTTGAGTAAAGGAAAAATTCAAAGGTGATGTTATTTGAATACCAGTGTCAATTTAACAAGTTTCTGAACTTTGGTAAACGTTGAGGTGGAACATATCATTATTCCATTATTACATACCATGTTTTTATTAACAGCATTCAAACATGAACCGATTGATTCTTAGGAAGTTGAAAATGTTAAAAATATGATAACACAGTATTTTTCATTGTTCCTTGATCATTAAAAAATATTAACTGCATTAATTATGTAAAACTAATGGACTCATTTGGCTACAAAAGGGCTAAATATAACACATCTGACGTTTCATCGTGCATAGACGTTTATACTCTATATATGGACAAAATCAATCAATAAGTGAGATAAACGAAAAAAATCAATTCTACTCTTGATGCGGTAACATACAATCATGCATATTCAATGAGAAATGTACAATATTCATAACATAATTATAGAAGCAAATGAACTAATCAGACAAGTAGGAACATATAGGAAAATTTTCTACATGTCAAAATGTTACTATGGGGTTTATACAATATGCGAAATAAATTCAAAAATTATCTGTGGCATTTCTTCAATACTTGGCCAAAATATGAAACGTTTACATAAATTATCTGAAATGTGAGAAATAAATATATTGAAGCTATTCAAACACACAATTCAACCAAGAATGAAAAAACCAATTTAAAAAATAAAGCAGCACTTAAACAACTATACAAAAATAAAACAGAAGAACTTGAGTTTTGGCATGAATACAAATTATAGAATTAACACATCTACCGTAATTAAATATATCATGAATGAAAAGATTTTATGATTTTATATAGGCCTACATTTCCATTTAATAGCCTAGTCAAAATACTCCCTCTTAACAATTTACCGAGAGTATCATCTCTAAAATGGATTTAAAGTAGAGACATGCATAATTAGTTATAGATAATGATTTACAATGCTAATTAGGTTGAACGCTACCAGAAAAAACAAATAAAGGCAGTTATCTTCAGAATATATTATAATAATAATAAGCAATTAGACAACACAAATGAAAACTAATAAAAACAACAAGATACAAAGAAGAAAAAATAATACCCTATTGAAATGCTCAAATCTGTTATTCCAGATCCATTCAGAATATCCTATTTATATTCAATTAGTCCAAAAAATATATATATAACAAAGATATGAAATGTTTTCATTGAATTCATTTGAAGCATTTATAACATCCCTGACCAATAACTAAAAATGTTAATCATAGACGTTAATTACTAGGAAGTAAAAAACCATTCCCATCAAGGTTCAACACAACTTTTCTTTACTAAAAAAATAATTGGGTATAAAAATATACCCAATTTGTACATGGAAAATTTCAAACGTTTTGAAATTCCATGATATTCCAAAAATATTCTTTCAGAATACATACAGAGTAGTACAATATTATTTTTGGCCATCTAGGACAGGAATAACTAGAATACCTGAACCACAAATTCCAAGATTCAAAATCATGTTTCTAATCTAAATAACACATATATAAAGACAACCTATATGAGAAGATGCATAACTGAAAAACATTGAAATTTCACTTTCACAAAAATATCATATTCTAACAAGAAAAAATTAACAATCGAAATTCAGGACGTACACACGTACAGTAAACTTCACTCGATTGATAAACTTTTTGTGAGGTTTTCACACCAAAATACTGAAAAAAGATGTAGAAATGCTCTTCTACAAAAACAAAATGATTCCTTGAGTTTTGGCCTAATACATATAAAAATTGTACAGTGAAATTAATTTAATAAACCAAAAATTTATAAAAGGGGAACTAAAATTCATGCAACATAAACTAACCTGCAAAATTATTGCTGGATATATTGTTGATATTATTAGATCCAAAAGCGACAGGTAGTTGAACGACTGTTTTCATACTCTGGGGAATGCAGGCTTCAAGTACATCGGTGGGATTCCATCGCTAGAACATTGATAAACTCCCAATAACAAATTTAAATGTAGCATATGCTATGTTACATCACTGCATTAGTAGGAAGCTGTTATGAGTAATAAATATATGAGTTCAGGATAATGGCAAATGTATTTAAGAAACGAGTTGATGCAATACAAAGTTATTTTCACATTTTCGATGGCGACGTTTCAAGATAATACAGTTGTAATTTTGATCTTTTTACATTAAAATTTCACATCACATTTTTGTTGGGCGTTATTTGAGCAGTTACTGAGTAACATCGTTTACTTCACTAGACCCCAAATTTCAAATTTCTGGAATCTTTACTTATTAATTCTATTCATTAATTGATATTTTGGTTTCCTTCGGTTCTTTGCTTTCTGGCTAGTAGTTGCTGAGTTATTAAGGATATCAAGATGTAAAGTCAGAAAGTGACAGACTGACAGAGTGATGTCTGAATGTAATGGGATCTCAAACCAGTAAACCTTGCTGTTCTCTTTAAAGGACATAATGAGTTTCAGGATAAATACTACAACATTCATATTGGGGTCTCGTGTAGTTTCGTACCTAACGTACTTCTAGTAGGCGTAGCATAAATTTTTTTCGATATGTCAATCCTAACCCCCATCTGACTACGCCATCCAAAAATTACGTCACAGTCACGTCATAGGGCTTGTCAAATATACATACGATCGCCCGAAATGGCATGGGAGCCGACGATAAAAAACTGACTAATGTCAGCGATCTCTCTCATATCGGGATCGTTGCGACGAGAAAACGAGAGAAATAGTTATTCAATTTCAAAATGCTCGTCTGCGCGTCTTGGACAACAGTTCCTATAGTTTGAAGGGCTCTATTACGTCACGGTGACGTAATTTTTGGATGGCATAGTCAGGTGAGGGTTAGGATTGATATTCCAAAAATTTGTTATGCTACGCCCACTAGAAGTGGATTAGGTACGAAACTACATGAGACCCGCTGCCTCACATCCAAACACTGTCAGACTGTTAAGCCTGAAAGTGTATAATAAGTATAAGTTTATTTCGACTCCATAATCAGGATAACAATACATTTGACAGATAAAAACAAATAAATAAAAAAGAGAGAAATTATCTGTGTAACCCATTGATTGCAGTACAGTCTGCTGGTCTGACAGAGGTATCAGTCAGTTCAGCAGTGAGTGTACTGTGTAGGCTACGCTAACTTTCAAAACCGCTACGGTACGGTGCGTAGCTAAAGTTACGGTGCGGTACCGGTAAACTACTCGAGTGGTTTAGACCTAAGTTAAGAAGTTGGCGTAAACCCATTATCAGTTCATTCATCAGATTAATATCCATCCATACTTATTTATTTCATATGCCTTTTAAACCGATCTTTGTGCAGTTGTGACAGAGAGTAAATAGAGAACACCAAACCGCCGAAACAGAGAAAGTCGATTCGAAGTCAAGTTATAGGTATTCATTATTCCGGAAAATGAAATGAAAGGAAGTTCGGGGAAAATTTGGAAACAGTCCGCATGAGGGTGCAGTTAATCCAGATTAAGAATTTCTTTTTTTGCTGCTATTTTATATCATATATTTATATATAACCTTCTGACATAAAAGATGTAAGTCTAATACGAATTTATATAACAAAAAATGAGATACTCTCAAACCATGCTGTAAGCTTTTGATCATAGTGATAATACATAACCAAATGTGAAAATGTAATTAAATACTCTCCGGTTGAGTTTTAAGTTTGATTTTAAATATATGCAATACAAAAGAACACTGCTCAAGGATATGGACACTAAGGTCAAATAACTAAATCAGGAGGCTTAATATTACAATGAAACAACCCCATTTCAACTTCGTTTTCAGAGCCGCCTTCTTGTCACAGACAACTATCGTTTTCCTATGTTTCAGTACATATCCGGACTTTTTGCAATCGAATAAGTCTATTTTGGACGCCCCCTTGCACAAATTATACGGTTCATTTATCTTTGAACCCACGTACATTTGCACCCGGGACAATTGCACCTACATACAATTGCATCCACGGACATTTGAACCCACTAATAATTGCACCCATACATTTGCACTACCAGATTCTTGCATCCATGAATATTTGCACCCATGACCACTTGCACCCATTGATATTTGCAACCATGGATATTTACACCTATGGACATTTCCGCCCACGTGCATTTGCCCCCACGTACATTTTTACCGGTGGACATTTGCATTCACGAACATTTGCACCCATGGACATTTGCACCCACTTATATTTGCAACCGGTACTTTTGCACCCGCGCACATTTGCACCTGTGGACATTCGCACAACGCACACGCAAACATTTCAACCCGCATGCATTTGCCTCTGCATACATTTGCACACAAGTAGGCTACTTTTGCACCCGCGTACATTTGCACCCACATACTTTTGCCTCCGCGTATATTTACATCCACGTACGATTGCACCCACGGATATTCGCATCTATGAACACTTGCACTCGTAAACATTTACACCCATGGATACCACCATTGAAGCAAAATAGGTTCTATTGCTATTTTCATACTTTTCCTTTTCATACTTAAAATTTGTAATCCATCATTTCGAATATATATATTTTTATAGTTATAAGGCGCATACATATGCGTGAGAAAGTCATGGGTAGGCCTAGCCTACAAATATCCGTGGTTTCAGATATGCATGGGTGGAAGTAGATATCGGCGCAAATGTCCGTGGGTGAAAGTCTGTGGGTGCAAATGTACGTGGATGCAAATGTACGCGGGGGCAAATGTACGCGGGTGCAAATGTTCATGGTGCAGATGTCCGTGGGTGCAAAAGTTCATGAGTGCAAATGTACGTGAATGCAAATGTACATGTATGCAAATGTCGGCGGGTGCAATCTATTTGCGGGTGCTAAAATCTATGGGTGGAAATGTATAAGTGCAAATGTTCGATGGTGCAAATGCCGGTGGATGCAAAAGTATGCAAGTGAAAATGTCCTGGTTACAGCCTACGGGTGCCAATGTACGTAGGTGCTGTCGCCGTTTCACTTCATTGCTTGAAACACTGATTTAGGCATTGGGTTAAAATACGTTTCTTGACGTTTAAAAAGAAAGGAAAAAGCGTCTTCTCTCTCGTTGGTAGGGCTGGGCATTTCGAATCGAATAGTAAATTATTCGAATCGGTTCAAAACTCAATTTCGAATCGCCGCCATCTTGTTTTTTTCCTTCTCGCCAATGATCTAGAATTAGATGAATTCCTCATTTTTTGTTCCTTGAAGTCATAATTTTTCAACGCAATTCTAACATATATTATGACTATTCTCTGTAGTTAGTTATTGATAAAACGTGTTTGTTATTGTGTGTGAACGCTCAGTAATCTATCTGAGTGATTTATTCTATGTCTTCAGTAATTCATTTGTTAAGAGGACCAATTACTATAAAAAAGTCGCTTACAATTATATATTTTCAAGTATTCGAGATTCGATTCGAAAAAATTATTCGATTCGATTCTGAAATCACACGGTTTTCGAAATTGCCAAGCCCTACTCGTTGGCTCACAATCTACGATTCTTTTATTTCGTTGGTTCGACCACCGTTTTTTTTTTAATTTCAAAGGTAGGATTTATTAAAATTCAATCAACAATTGCGATGAGTGGATGCGCGGTAAAATAAGCAAAATTAAAAAGTTGGCCAAATCCTTTAGTCCAACGGAAGCACAACTATACGGTGTTGTACGGACACTTGAGAATTCTACAAACCATGCGAAGTATTTGCTGTCGGAAGAATGAGGGTGCTCAGCTCAGCAGCACGAGCTCGAAAAAAAGCATGCGAACGATTATAAGGATGTCAGGTCTAATATTAGCAGCCCATCCCATATCTATTTCGGAAAGGCACTCCTCTTTTTCTACCATTAAATTAATTAAAAAAAAACTAAATTATGTTACTGATGTCATTTTTTTGAATAAATTTTCCCAACGCTGATCAGACTAATCCAAAATTTGTTCTCGTTCTAATCAGATAACGTTTTGTAAATAGTGTAAATAGTTTTCTATAAACTGAGAGTTTAATAAAAAAAGAACCTGTTTCAAATTAGGTATTTATTCATGTGTTGAATTGGGTGGAAATGACTCAGATGATCGTGGTCTATGGTGGTCGTATCCTTACCTCCCAGTCATACCGAAAACTTTTGTTTCACCTATTTTGTTATCATTATATTTTATATTAGGTGTTTTCTGGTTGACGAAATAATGGATTCTCTTTCTCTCCCTCGTCGTGGAGCACATAAAATCAGTAATGATATGGAAATAGAAAGGGCACGTTGTTCTTGGTCAAAAAATGCTGTGTTTTTTATGCACACATGGAATTTGGCAAAATTAAACAACGTGCAAACTACAAAATTTCCGTGGTCTGGTTCGCTTTAGAATCTAATTAGGTGATGAGGATTTGAAGAGATTTATTCTTGGTTCTGAAATAAGTGCGCAGGATACAAGTTGATGGAACACAAAATAAAATCAAGAAACTATGTGTGGAAATTATTCGAAAAGCTTTGGTTCGAAGAATAAAACAGCACGTCTATTTTTTTTTTCTGTTGACATCGGTGTTTCAAGTGAACATTTTCGTCCGATCAACAGATGGAATTTTCTTGGCGTTGTCGAGGCTGCATCTTCAACAGGGGAATACATTGTGAACTCGCTGTAGAAAAATTTAGCTGCGACTCTACCTGTCACGAGTTTTTATGTATACGCACGCATTGGATGGCAAAGCAGGTTTCCCAATGCGTATGATTGGATCTGTTATTAACCTATACATTCCTATATTACATTGCCTTTACAACGGACGCAAACGACTATGCTACAGTGAAATTACAAGACCTTTCTGAAGTCCATTGTGGTCTATCAAGACGTGACGTCTGGCGAACATCCCAGCATGTATTTCCTATGTAATTTGATGGGGTTCGTTTTATCTTAATGTCGTCTTGATCCCATCTATCTATTTACACCTGTGCATCTCCGGGCGTAACTTGACAACAAATAATATGAACATCTCGATATTAGCAATATATTGATGATACACAATGGAATATCAAGAAACATTCATGGCCATGCAACATCACTTATAATACATGAATTAGGAGGTTATCAAACAAAAAATGAAGCAGCCGATTCTTATCATTTTTTTACTGCAACTTTAGAGAACTAGTTAATTAATTGTCAGGCAGAAATATACTGATAGTACAAAGTTAAATACATATTAGAAACTTGTTTAGATTTGAAGACAAACGACAAAAATTTCAGAGTCCGGATTCACTTCTTTCAATGAAAAGGCAGCCATGATAATTATATATTGAAAAAAATAACAAAATGGTCATGAGGAAGAAATATTACACAATCCATTCAAATAAATACACTCTCAGTGCAAAATACCTGATTTTTGACCTGTGTGATATAGGCAATACTAAATAAGAAAAAATTGAAAATATTACCTTCCAGCAAATCTAGCAGCAGCCGAAGATTCACATTTCCATCTATTTATTGAAAGAATATTTTCATTCCTTCCAAGATTGAAGAATATACCGTAAGTAATATTTTTCTGAGACATTACAAAAAGAGAAGATTTGCCTTTCGTTTACTGCATAAATCATGCTAGTGTTGATTGTAAACCAAAATAATTTGTTATTCATGTTAATAATTTTTTCTGTTTACAATGCAACAACGGTTTAAAATTAGCAAGTGATTTTTCTAATTCTCTATTTACAATACTGAAATGGTTGACAATGGATATTTATGATAACAATAACCATATAATCCGAAAACATTGAGAATCAAGACAACGATCAAAACCATATTATTTCTTCACAAGAGTGCTAAGCATATCAATGGGAAGAGGGAAAATGATGGTGGAATTCTTCTCTGCACTGATGGAAGTGAGTGTTTGAAGGTATCGTAGCTGCATGGCATTGGGTGATTCACTCATAACATCAGCAGCCTCCTTCAACTTTCTTGATGCATTCATTTCACCCTCAGCAGCAATAACCTGTTAATATAAAGCAATGTTATCGATGGAAATAAAATATACAACGCTACTGAGATAAATGCAACTGTTGTTAGCAATCTGCCTTAAAATCAAGTGCTTTGTGCATTAATGGACTGAATAAATAGGCAAAACAAAAGGAATGAAGATCGACATCGGTAGTAGTACCATAAGGCCTAAGAGAAGAGAGTTTGCTGAAGATGAAATCATGTAGAAGCAAAACGGTTGAGCAATATGAAATAAAAAGTGTTCCCCTTGAATGAAACCTGCAAAACGTTAGGTAAAATGTCAGGTTCCATAGGACTTTAAAATTTAAAGCAAGGATTTCCAACAACTTTTCCATCTTTTACTGAAAATTTGAAATTGATTGTCCATTTGTAACAAATTATTGTTTTCTTTTCTATGAATTTCATTATACCCAGGCATTACCATCTTACAATAATGGTATTGGGTTCTTTTTCAATGTACAATATTATTTTTTCTAAATGAGGGAAGCCTTTGTTCATTATTGGTTCAACGATACTAAATATTCAAAGACTGTGTGGGCTGACTGTACAAACATTGAAGGAGGAAAATGTTCATTTTGCAATAGAAAAACCAAAACAGTAAAAAACATATTAGAAGAAAACCTCTAGTAAAATACCAGTGCAATAAACCACTTCCATTATTTTCCAGTAGATATTTTATTAAAACTTGGAAAATATTAATAGTCATGACAAAATTGGGATATGAAAAAATTATGACTTAGTAATTTACCTACACCAAGCAGTGGAATTGGTAATGTTGATAAATTTGAATTTTTTTTAAATACAGTATTAATTTGCAAAATCAGTGGCAATATTCAGCGAAAATCAGAAAACAATATTACTTTATTTGAGTATGTTCGAAACAAAAATAAGTTCATTAAAATTACAATACAGCAATCAGTTCTGATATTTCATCAATAATAAATACACAACGATGGCATGTTCATAGACTATATCACTTGGCAAATCAGTTATTTCAAATACCTTGGCTCTGGCATCACGAGCTGCTTCTGCTTCAGCAGCCATGGCTCTCTGCAATTGCACTGGCAGACGGACATCTTTGCTGTCAAATCCAATAAAAAGTATGAGCATGAAATAAAGTGAGTAAAATGAGGAAATCGAGCTCAATTAATTCATTTCCGTGTGATGACATTTGAAAGATAATTCTGTGAGTAATAAACCAACAGACAAAAAGCTTATTCTATGTAAAATGAGTAAGAAATAATGAATATTATATTAGCAAACTTTCACCTATTTAATGATTATGGCTACATCAATGAATAGCAGCTAACGTTTATTCAAGGTTTAAGAGGTTACGAGGAGATTATGAATCTTGTATTCTAGCCTTAGATGCCAATGATTTAAAACAAGCTCACCCGATACATAAGAAATTAGGTAGGCTATGCTTACACAATTATCTAAAAATTAACCTCAGGTCTACTTATATTCAGCTTTTTCGGATTAAAAAAGGGGTAAAGCAGCAATGTGCAGTGCACATAGAAAATTTCAACTTCACAACACATTATGAGAAGAGATACTGATAATGTGGTCTCACAGGAACCAAAATAACTAGTATATCCCGTCTCTACTGTCATCTTTCCATTTGTAAAATTGATTTTTCATAAACCTGTAAATAAATTGATCTTACATTTCAACTCTCTCCACTTTGATTCCCCATGGGTCAGTTGCATCATCCAATGTCACCTGAGAATGAAAGCAAATGGTTAATTTTTACAACATTGAGATTCTATCAATTGGCAGTCAATTGCCATTCAAGGACACTAATCGTAATCACAATCAGCACTTTATTTTTTCAACATACTGAAAATACACTTTATACGAACAAATATAATGAAGAAACAGTAAGTGTAATCAATAAAGGAGTGAGAAAAAAAGTTAAACATGCCATTGAAACAGTTTACACCCAAAATAAAACCAAACCTGCCACTGTTACATACAAAAACTTTAAAAACTTGATTATACCTATTTTCTTCACAGTATAGCCTACATAATAAGGCGACAAGAGTTGCAGCAAGAACTTTTTAAGGGGGGTTAGAAATTGAAACTTCTTGTGCAACAGCTTAAATGAAGCAGTCACCACGGGTACATCACTTGATAAAATAGCCGACTTCTTCAGTAGATACTGATTTCTCTGTTGCGTAAAATATCAATCCATCGTTGTTATGACTATGAGCATTTAAGATGTTATGCCATCTTATTTTAATTGTGTTCATTCAATATGTCACTTGTATCCATAAAATGTGGTATTAAATTTTAACTAATTTAAATTAATTTCAGCGTCCTATAAGATTTTACCATGCAAAGCCTTAAATATATTGAAAGACTTCTCCTTTTTTAACAAAAGCTATTCCATAAGACACAATGAAAACGGGTATACAAACCTGCATTCCAGAGCTGATTTCTTCCCGGTCAGTAAGCACCTCAGACAAGCTTTTCGTTCCCAACATATTTCGAAGAGTAGTTTGGGAGAGAAGACGGGTGGCACCATCTGCATTAGCCACATTAGCAATGCTTGCTGTGGCATCTTGGACACGATAGTAGACCACAGCATCTACAGCGATGGTGACACTGTCCTTGGTCAGGATCTGTCAAACATTAAATTCATATAGATTCGAAAATCTCTAAATACAAGTCAAATAAACTCAATAAGTAAGTTGTGAACGAAACTAAAAAAGGCCATGGCAGTTTTACAGGCGTTACAAGTTACAACAGTGGTTTCCACTTTACAACCTTCTTCAAATCGTGTCACACACTTTTACTATTCGCGGCACGCCTATCACAATTTCACAAAACATGAATATTTTCTACTCATAGAGCCATTTTGCTATAAAATAATGCTAACTTTCAAATGCCTATTGGAAATTGGAATCACTCAAAATAAATTCAAAAATGAAATCTCCTCAAGGCATCAATCAATAATTCATGAATCAAATCTCATTAAGCATTCATGTAATGACTTACTTCCTGAGGTGGGACATCAAACGACTGTGTACGGAGATCAACTTTCTTGTATTCATCAGTGCAGGGAATAACGAAGAAGATACCTTGGAAACAGGATATTCATGCAATATTCCACAATATTATTAATATTTTGTACATCATTTAATATTTAGACTAACCTGGACCCTTCGCACCACCCTTTTCCAAACGTCCAAGACGAAATATCACAGCTCTTTCATATTCTTGCACAACCTTAAAAAAAAGGAAGAATATTATAAAAAAAAATAGCATGTATTGTTGATAATATTAATTCATGTAATGTTCCCAAATGTGGAAGCAATACTGTGGATCAGGGTTTCCCAAATTCTTTGGGCCGCGGACCCCTGTTTGTGAATCTCATTTTTGACGGACCCCCATCATATTCGGTATCCATTTCTGTGCCTAAACAACGAGGAAGAATAACATTTCATTTACAACACAAACTACATTAATGTGATGGATGAGGTTGCTTTTCACTGCACAATTTATTAATAAAATTATAATTGCCTTTCCCAACAGCAATTATTAATATTCATTTGCAACGCTCAAAGAAAAAGATGCAATTGCCTTTCGATTAGAATCAATCATGGAGGATTGATCAGACTATTTTCATGCCGTATTCGGACCCCCTGTGCTGTTATCACAGACCCCCAGAGGTCAGAGGACCCCAGTTTGGAAAACCCTGCTGGGGATAGCTCATTGTGGAAAATGACACAAAAATCAGCCCTATTCAGTGGTGGGATTCAGGGGAATGTTGAAATAATCAGCGAACCAAATATTAGTATTTAGAGCTATTAGGTTCGGCATAGTTTTCTGAAATAAGGGAACTTGTTGTTAGTGAGTTCGATACAAAGAGAACTTCTTAAAATTTTGAACCGTCTGTCACTGGTCCAATTTGTCAATTTCAAGTTCGGCTATAAGAAGTGACAATATAAGGAACAGAGCCTAAAACAAGAACTTATATAACTACAGGCTATACAATTATTCATAAAGCTATTAGGATAGGATTTACATATTTACCCAGAGGGAGAGAAAAGGTGATAAGACACCTCTCGTCCGGTTACTAGTCCACGTCGGGTATTAGTTAGCCAGTTATTCGTTTTCAGAGACATGACCTTAATGGTGGAGGAAGCCGTAACCAACCAGCGGTTACGTAAACCACCCGACAGCCTATTAATCCCAAGAGACAAATACGGTAGTAATATTAAATGGCAATGCTAACCTTCACACACAAACAAATTGCAATCGGGAAAGTGAGTAAAATAACAAAACCGGAAATGATCAGTAACAGGATTCCACAGCATCCATATCCCTCTTCAGTACTACCAGCTAGAGAAGAGAATAAAAGTTATGTTGTTACTCATGCATATTCAGTTGGTGGGGTTGATGTGATGTTATGGGTTACCTAAATCTAATGATTCAATGCTGTTTTGTATCATTCTATGTTGTCAGTTGGAGGACTAAATAAATATTGATAAAATTATCCGAATTATCATACAAAGTGTGTTAAAATTGTAGCAATATTAGAATATTATTGAAAACATATTTTAGCTTGCAGAAAATATCTTCAAACAAAGCAAGAAGTGTTTTAGTTCCGAATAGATGAAACAACATAAAACTCATTTAATAATGACAATTTTCAAATAATATTACATGTAGTTAAAATTGTTCAATGCATCCTAATAATATTTTTTTACAAGAAGATATATCAAAATGCATGCATATTACGTCAAAATATTTTCAAAGAGGGGAAAAATGAAAAAAAAATCAGGGCTGTGGACAATAGGATGAACTGCCACTCTTGAGCCCAAACTCAAAAATATTCATGACGCACAAATTTAGCTCTCAAATGAATTAATAAAACTTTACAGGCTTCCTCATAGAACAGTGCTCTTCAACCTTTTTGTTATTGTGGAACCCCTGATATAATTTTTCGTTTTTTATGGAACCCCAATTAACAAAATTGAAAAAAAAAACACGAAATACTCGTAACGTATCACAAAAAGCTGAACAACAACTCTAGTTTGTAGTATATACTCTCTCTAGTCTCGAGCAATATCTACATACTTTGAACATACGTAACTATGGTGCAACAATAGTGTTCTTGTTAGTTGCATAACAATGACTAAAGTGAGGCAACAACCGAAAATACTTCTGTTTTGTCTATTAACTGCACTGTGACTAAACCTCTTGTTTAACGAACTGGCCTACTTGGGGTTCGAACTGGCCTACTTCCCCTGATAAAAAACGCGGAACCCCTAATGAACCCTATAAACTCACTCAACCGCTTACCCCACTGCATGTATTGCGGAACCCCTGTTGAAGAGCACTGTGATAGAATCAAAATCATTTATGGCGGAACACAATATAAGAAACAACACAGTGTCTTAATTTGCAGCCCTGAAATACCACCAGCACGATTATTGTCTTATACTACTTTATGGATATATAAAGATATGGGAGTTTATCACACAGTCACAGAACATAATACTCAAGTGGCAGGTGAATATCACACATATACAATCATGACATGGACACAACAGCAAATATTAGTCAATTAAGCCAAATAGTTATTTCACCTTTCTAGGCAAACAAAACTTACAATTATAACTGTAATGATTAGCTTTAATACTTTCCTGAATTAATCCCGTGGTTTGGGCCTGTTCTACATCCATCACATATTATCTATATTTATGTTTTTTGTAATTATTTATTAGCTGGAATCTGAGAGAGATTACCGTTATTTTATTAAAAACAACGAGGAATGTAAGTGATTTGTGATTATTTGAAACAAAAAAACAGCATGCGATAAACAAAAGAAAAATAAATCGAAGCAAAATTGAGTAGTGTAGAAAAAAATGAAAAACTCGAAAGCATCATCATTCTTACAGATTGCTCAGTGTCAACAACAATAATGAAATAGATTTGAATATATCACATTGCAGCATTGAAACATTGCATAAGTTTAATTAATTTGGTAACTAAAAATGTTAATTTCCACTTTCACAGATTTATGCAAGCATAAGAAACTGGTAATAAATTTGATTTCTGTTTGGTTCTAAATATAACAGTATAACTAGATGGAAATAATAATAAACTGTTATAGGTGGGATAATTGGATTTTAAAAACATGCCATAAGAATTAAGTCAATTCATGCTTTTGGGACTTACATTCGTGAACGTTATACGCGGCAGTGTTTCGAGAAGTAGAAGCTTGTTTCTGAGAATTATCCATTTTCATCAATTTCTTAACTAATTGCTGAAACAAACTATCTTACCGGTATTTAGGTACGGCAAAGTTATATATTTAAACAGAGAAAAGAAAATGATGTCAGGGTGTGGCTTAACGTTAACCTTCACTTTGTCTGAAGTGCGACAAAGTCATATTTTACTATTTCTATATTTATTCGTGAAAAAATCTTGCAATGCAGATATAAGCATATTACTTCACTCCAAACTTTTCCTGCTGCCATAAGCAAACAATAATACAAATTTCTCTAATGGCTGAATGGACGAGGACCGGTACGGTAAACCCTGAAACCCCTTACACTCATTACAGTCTTAGCTGCAGTGTCGCGCAATCTCGTTTTTATGTTTTGAATACGATAAAAAAAAATAACAAAGATGAGTAATCTGCACGAGACGAATATTCGTGCGACATCACGTGCCGCAGTAATAAATAATAAAAAATTCCCGAACAAATACCGGTACAGTAATAATACAGGAGGGGTTGATCACGAGAGTATCCCGCAGCTAAAAGATATCACGAGACAGCCGCAGGAGTTCGCAGCTTCAGTTGGCGTAAGATGTAGCTGACGTTCGTTCTCAGGAATTTTATTCACACTCGTATGAACAAGAGGAATGCAGCGTGTGTAGATAAAGCTTGACTGGCACCAATGAGCATATGTTATTGCTGGCACACATCATTTCGACATGTTCATCGCCGCATTCTCGCATACATTCACTAATCAACAATTGTGTCATTACGTGGCCAGTCGCTTTTCGTCTGCAATCAACAGTTTTTGTATCGTTTGCTGTCATTTACAGATTTCACCTGAAATTTAGCTGGTATATTTTAGTTCGTGGGAACACTTCCATTGGTAAGACGAACATATTTACCGTAAAGTGAAAAACGTATCAAATCCAAAATCCCACAATTGAAGTCATTCATTAAAATTATTGTACGCAGCTGCATGGATTGCTCCAGTGACGAGCTGGAAATTGTAACAACCGGAACGCACCTAATTCGTGAAAATGCATATTTATAACACGTCCGCTCACAGAAAATTTTATCTTGTCCTAATATATAGCCAAAAAGCTACATTAAAATATGAACAAATTATATGAAGTATGTCTGCGAAAAATGACAAGTATGACAACAAGCGTAGAAAACATTACAGAAAGCAGAACATTACAACGCTTTGCCTGTAAGAAGTACCGACAGTTTGTTTTAACAAAGTCTATCGTGGCTTCCACGGGCCTCATTTTGATTAAACTGAAACTATCCCATGAACAAAATGACCACTGAATTATTCGATTTACACCTAAATTCATGACGCATGAACAAAAACTGGAAATTAACCGACGAAACTGCAAAACGAGATAATATGTACACCACCCTTGAAAACAGTCCGAACGAAAAGGTGTTTGAGAGACTGCCAAAATTATAATTGTTACGTCACCGGTAAGTCATTGCTGATGAGCCATTGTCTCGAAAAGACACAAGACACGGAGAAATATACTAAGTTCTTTACCGCTTGGCAGCAGAGACCGCGTTGCGCTCAGAGTAGGATTAGCGTTGCACACCATACAGTACTGTACTTTTTCTGAGCTGAAATTTAAAACCTATGAAATATCCCGTCAAAGTTCTTTACCGATTGGCAACAGAGACCGCGTTGCGCTCAAAGTAAGATTAGCGTTGCATCATACTTTTCTTTATCTGAGCTGAAATTCAGAACTTATGAAATATCACGTCATTGATATTAATGCTGGTGTGGTTCCAAATTGATACTTTGAATGATGAATTTATATTCCTATTCTGGTGCGATAATTAAAATGAAATTAAAAACTGAACTTGAAATTCCTTCTCCAGTTCTTGACAAAAAGAGCCTAAATCAGAGTTTATCATAACTGAAAATGCATCCTTAGCTAGTGTTATGCGCAAGTCACACTCTCGTTTTTGTACAGTTTAATAACTATCGTAGTAATAATAAAGAATATCAGTAAAAGGCTACTACACGAGAGTAAAAAGCAAGATTCCTTACTACCAACAACAAACAATTCCTCACTGGGCAGGATCCTCCATCGGTTGGGAAACATGGGTTTGGGACAATACACTGAGCTGCCTGTTACTAGAGCTACCGACCACTAGATTATGTCGACATCGGTCTAGTTGTAGCGTAAGATAAAATACAAGCTGTATACGGGACAATAGGTAGGTTTGAGTCATCGAGAACATTCATGAGATATGTAGAAAATAGAGGCTAATTGTTGTTGCGGACTGTTTCAATCACAAAAAAGACATTGCCTCAATACTGTACATATGGGCAATATCCAGTGGTGGGATTCAGCCGGTTCGCACTGGTTCTATAGAACCGGCTGACGAAAAATTTGAATCTCACCACAGGCTATATCGCATAAATAGCATTTGTATTCAGATCTCTGACATTTTGAGCCTCCGTGAACATGGATCCTTTATTTTGGGTATGCATACAAGTTTGGTAGATTCCTCGGGATCATATTTTAAATGGCACCCTGAACAAGTCTTATAACTAGCGTAAGGAGTTGAAGAAAAGTGTAATCTAACCCCTGATATCCATTGACTGTTAGAAAACCCAATTTTAAATTGACAAAATTTGGGCTACAAGTCTGTGTTTCAAAAAATGACTGCGAATCCTTTTCACATTAGAGTAAAGAATTTCGACTACGGTAATTTAGGTCACATCGACCTTCAAAAGTCTGGAACTCTGATTCAGGGAAACTCGTAAATCTAATTCCAGTTTTTATTTTATTCACTATAGTATAGAAAAAAAACGATAGCTATATGACAATAAATTATATCCATTAGTCCTAGTTTTTGATAATTTATATCTGATGGAACCGAATTGCACCCCTATAGTCATACACGAATCACTAAGAGATACAGATATTTCGAGGTACTTTTCTACATTTCGTTTCAAGGTGAGTTTCTATATTTAGTAATGTCTGCACAACCCGATTTATTAATGAATAGGGAAGCACTGCATCGTTATTACCCCTATTAATTAAGTTATTTCAGTCTCAAAGCTATTCGTTTAGATTAGGGGTGCTTAGCCTTTTTCCTATTGGCGGCCACATTGCATTCATTTGTATTCAATACGGACTCCAGGGGGTTGATGAGCGCGCCGAAGTCGCGCGAAATTTTTTGGGGGGCTTTTATGACGTCATGACTGCGTATTTGACCCATGTGAGATGCAGTCTGCCCAATTATGAAGTTTGTATGACTGGGCGGTCGCCCAGATTGTGACGCATCGTGTCGTCTGACTTTTTTGTAGTGCTTCTGTTTTGCTTCAATATACGCCAGCATAGCCGCAAAATCCTATATCTTGAACTTTTTTTTTATAGTATTTGGTATGTGGACGGCCGCATTATTTTTTCACGATGGCCGCTGGTTGTGCACCGTTGATTTAGATGATAATGTTGAAAGGCAATTTGAGATTAATTAAAATTGTACGTGTGTTTACCTTCCTCCGGGATAAAGAAAGTATAAATCATTCAACCTTGTGGGACACAAAGAGGAACTACAGATCGTTTCGGTATTATATTGTTGTTGTGTTAGAATTCTTGTTAGCACGAAAAAAATCGCCCTTTCCTTGAATTACCGGGCCACTGAAATTTTCACTGGTTAAAGATTGTTGTTGTCGCTTGGAGGCTATTACCTTAGGTTATTTCGAAAATTTCTGTGGGATCTATGAGAATCGTTATTGTGTGTGATGACAGGAACAAAATTAAAAATTCCGCACTTTGTGGCGATTCCGCGTTAGCGACCTGATGTTTCGTCGAATTCGAGAAGACTACGGTATTCTACAAGTGCTGTGAATAAATACACCCGTACTACTTCGTTTTGGTCTTTGTGGCCATGTATTTGAGCATCTATGTGAATCGTTTTGTTATTATGCTGTTGTTAGAATTCTTTTTCTCATTCTTGTTGTTACCGTACGAAAATATGGCTTTTCTCATTTAATACTTGTCCAATTGCTTTGGAATTTTTAGTGGTTACAGTCTTACAGATTGTATTTTTCTAAGTTTTTCATTATCTACTGGTTGATGTGTATGGTGATTGGTGGCCCATCGCTGTCACGCGTAAAATCGGAAAATTTTTTTTAAAACAAAATAAAAAATTATTAAAATAAAATTTGCAAAAAAAGAAAAAAAATTCAGAATTAGAAACTCAGGGAACACCGTTTGTACGCGTATTATGCATGACAACGACTGAACGTTGTTCCCAAGAGGAAGTCCGATTTTGAATTTTTTTTTTCAATTCACGTGACAACGATGGGCCACCATAGTTGTGTCAGCAAGGGTAGTAATTGATTGATGAAATATAAAATAACATTTGATTCTGTACGATCCATGATGCAGGGAATAGTACCATATTCATAATATAGCAGTTCGTAAAAGTAATTCAGTTCCCCGAACTTCAAAAGCTCCACAGCAATTTCTCACGTCTCAATACAATTTTGTTTTTTGTTTAGTTTTGGTTTGACTCATTTTATAAATGTAAGGACTCTTTATTTACTACTTGTGACTTACTATACTAACGAGTCATTGCCTTTGCTTCCAGACGTTTAATATTCTCCTTTATAGCAAACTTCTATACAAAAGTATTAGTAAGAATGTGTTACGTATTTTTTATGTAGACGTTACAGTCATAAATGTTGTTCTTAAAAAAATGCCGTATTGTTAACAGGCAATGTGTGTTGAAAAAGATCTAATATTTATGACTGAGCATTTGTAAAATACACTATAATATGTTAACACAAATTTACTATTCGCATGCCAATGATAAATAGATATACTCACTTAATCCAACTTCCATTTTAAGTATATATACTCAGATCTGAAATATAATTTCAATAAACTAGATGCTTGTTTCTATTATACATTCTTGACATTTCCTACGTTTTATACCTCTAAATTTCTCATTCAATATTATCATATCACAATTAATATCGGTAATCGGAATTTGAATTATGTCATGGACGTGGCCCCGTGTAAAACGTTATGAGTAACACATGGTGCAGCTTTATGGGCAATACTATTAACGACTATCAAAAGAACCGTTTATTAAAAGCTTCTGGCAGCATCGTTATTGAGCATTTGTAGGTAAATGGCTACAGTGTCGCCACATTTCACAGATTTGGCAAGTTTTTATATGTCTTTATGCAGTACAATATTGGTATTATTTATATTATGTACAGGTGAAAGTATCAGATAGAACAGAGAAAAATTCAATTATATTTCCCAAGTCTTCGCTCGCCGTCATCGTCTATCAAATTCAGGAAATTGTCAAGGATTGGGCTGTTGGAAGAAAAAACAGCGAATGTTTTATTTCATCGAAGCCTGATAAATCTATACTTGACAAAACTGTTTTATCAACGCTATCGCATTTTGCTTCTGGTAATTATGAAATTTAGTATAATGTACTTTGGCATTACCTTGGTTTGAATAAAAAGCGGAAAACAGGAACAAAACGACCTGTATAATCCAATCTTATGTCGTCAAATTTAGAGTCCCAATCCAACGTAGCAGTGAGAGTCTGATGAATCATTTCTCAAGTCTACGACTCTGATCAAAACCATGGATTGCTCAGGCACGCCATATGGTGGGCGGTGGCTAATTTAATTGCGATGGAAAATTATTAATTACATTTTATAATTTTTAGTTAACAGGAAGTCATACGTCGTCTTACTAGCTGCAAAATTTGACATACATGAAATGATGGTGTTTACAGCTTTACAAGAATATTTCATGATGTCAAATCTTAATATTCTTGTTGCGCATAGCGCAAGAGGTACGATAAAATTTATTGATATATAAAAAAATGACATTTGATTTTGTACGATCCATAATGCAGGGAATAGTATCATATTCATAATATAGCAGTTCGTAAAAGTAATTCAGTTCCCCGAACTTCTGAAGCTGCAGAGCAATTTCTCACGTCTCAATACAATTATGTTTTTTGTTTAGTATTGGTTTGACTACTTTTATAAATGTAAGAACTCTTTATTTACTACTTGTGACTTACTATACTAACGAGTCATTGTCTTTGCTTTCAGACGTCTAATATTCTCCTTTAGCAAACTTCTATACAAAAGTATTACTAAGAATGTGTTACGTATTTTTTATGTAGAAGTTACAGTCATAAATGTTGTTCTCAAAAAACGACTTGAAGTGTGCTCACGTCCCCCTTTTCGGAGTCCAGCATTCACTGGATGTCCCAGGTTTGTTACTGACACTATCTCTTCCCTTGATATGAAACTCTCAATTGTAGCCTCAATTTTTATTAAATCATAAATGCGTACAGGCGACTCATGAATAAAAAAAACTTCACTGTATGTCCATTTTTCCATTATTTCATCAGAATGTGTTGAATGTATAACAACTATGGCGGATGCCACAACAAAAGAATCAATTTTAAAAACAAAAGAAACAATTGATCAAATATCTCAAGAAAAATCAAATAGTACAGATTACATTGCAAATGCTCTCGTGTGTGCAGGAATTGATAAAGATGATATCCTTTCAAATATACTTTCGTATTTTCATATAGTCGTTTGTTTTATCTACATGGTTGCGTCTTGGACTTGCGCTATTTGAAACGAGCATTTGATGGTATTGTAAATCTAATTATGTGGCGGACCACGGCTTTTCGTATAAATAATTACCAGTGAAAAGATATGGTGACTGATACCAAACATTCGGTTGTATTTTAATAGTAGAAATCGCAACCTACCAGCGGTTAAGTGACCCATCTTTCAACACTAAGGGAGCACAGTTTTACACATAATCACACACATGGGATTAGAACCTGCAAATCGACGTAACGGCGATTATTTTGTACCGATCGACTACAGAGAATTTAAATTTTGTTCACATTTTTAACCTGGAAATAATTTCTGGTAATTTTAGAAGAAAATACTTTTCGGAAGTTCGTTTACAAATCCGTCAGTGTTTCAGTAATTGAACTTGACACGCAGTGGCGAAAAATTCGATTTCAAAAATTAAATTTGGGTCTAAGAGGATTGATTACTCCGGGGATGAAATTTTATGTTTCTGTGCAATGCCTAATTGAGAAAGAAAATATTTGCATGTATTTTTATAATAAATCGAGCCAACCTGTTCGGTGGCAAATTATTTAGGTAGCATCAAAAAGTAAAGGTACTTCTGATAGCGAGCGTCGGTTTTCAATTGTTATGAAAGAAGTTGCAGCATACTGTCGCGTGATTGACTTATATATATTTCTTACCGGTACGAGAGAATATTTGATGCCAGTCTTTTAGGAAGCATATATCCTACCGTAATGAGATGGAACTTATTACCAGGACAATTTAAATTTTTGAAGACTACAAGTTCAAATAAGAACGTTTCGAATAAAGCATATATGAAATGTGGATAATATTGTAAATATGCCGTTGCCTGCATGCTTCATATGTAAAGATTTGAAAAGCTTTTATGTAATACAATGATTAATATGGATCAGTGCCTCAGCTACGGTATATTTTGCGTAAAATTTGAATAAAATAAATTTATAAATTCCTAGTTTCGATTCTCTACCCCTCCATATGTGTAGAATCATTGCGGATGTAACCCCAATATTTTTCTTTCATTATCGATATGGAAATGTGGATAAGGTTGTCAAAATTTAGTTTGTTTTAGTCATTCATTCAAAAAATATTTCTAAATTCACTCAGTCAATGCTCGACCACGCATCCCTTTTTGAACCTTTCGTCTTTCCAATAACTCGCAAACTTGTCAACATGAATAATGCATTTTTTGTTGTAAAAGTTTAAATGTCACAAAATGTTTATTCTAACAAAATCAGGAAAGCTTTACACAATTTTTCTGTTTGTTTGTAATTTTATCTATGGACACTCGTATTAGCTGTCGCCACTGCCAGTATACAGTATTTTATACTTGTTTAAGGCAGCATATACTAAATTTTCGGACTCTTACTTGTAACCTAATCATGTAACAGTAATACGCGCGTAGTGACGAGACTAATTCTATGATTTTTTGCTTTTTTTTTTAATAAATTTTCGTTATGTATTCTCATGGGACTTCCGCACCACAGTACATTTATAAAGGAAATTAGCTTCCGTAGTTTCATTAAATAAAGCAAATTTTCACGCTCCTTGTTAGTTCTGCCAGAGTTGACATCTCGTGGCCACTATCCCAGAATTATGTTGGTCTATGTAGTCGCAGGTTTTACCTTAGAATCTTTAGGACGTCATGAACTGGAGGTTTCCATCAGTCTTTTCGTTGTTGGAGAGCATTTGTTGTCATTATTTTAGTTTTTAGTATAATTCTCAGTCTCGAATGCCATAAAAGCTGATTAATCTGCCTGATGATTGCTGGGCTCATCGCCGTCGGTCGGTTATCGATGATTCTAACATACATGCATTCGTTCGGGCCGTAATGTTGTTCACTATTTCCGTACCCGACTTGGACTGGCTCGGAGCGAAAGGAAGCATAATTTACCATGTGATTTTCTCAGTATAATATGACTATTTTTTGAGTATCCACCATATTAATGAAATGCGGCTATCACAATAGCGGTTTCACATTTCAATTTTGAAGTGTTCAGCTTGTGTAAGTACTAAGAAAATGCAGTGAATAGAATAACGATTTAGCGAGGCGTTGTTTTTCTCAAAAAAAAAGTCACTCTCTGGTTATTCTAGCCAACCTTTTTTTTTGTTGAAAGCGCTATCGATAGGTAACATCTTTCGTTAAATTTTGACTTACTTCGTTAATTGAAATTTGATATACGCGAGTACTGAATGTTGTAAATATTATTTTCTACAAATAACCACTCTTCTACATATGTTTTTTGCACCTTCTAATTGGCGCTTTAATTCTCAATATTCCTTCATATTAAATATCTATCTAACTGGATACGTCTCTACATGAAAATTATTTCAAAATTTGTTTTGAATTACGACACTTCTCTGAGCGAAGAAATTCTTCTTATTTGCTTTCGTCGGTTAGTTTCAATAATTCGATCATAAAAAACGTAAACTTGAGAATTGATCTTTTTAATCGCTCTTGATTTAAATCCGCGTTTTAAAGTCAAAATACGTAAATACCAGAGACTAGCTATACTATAAAATTATAAATAGTTTTTCCTACTGCAATATGTAACATACCGGTAATTGGACTTATTTCATCCGATGAAATATTGATTTGTTCCTCGTTATTGTCTCCTGATACGACGTAATTATATTTACCATAAATTTTAGAGTAATCCAATGTTGTTTGCAAGCCTAACATGATAGCGATGGCATAGACACGATTCAGAAATAGTTTAAGGCTAGAACGAGCCATTGATCACGTTTTGTAAAATTTATCGTAATAGATTTACAATCAAAAGTAAATGAAATTTGCTGTATTTTTTTAACTGCGCATTTTCTTTGTCGCGCGCCTTTTGTGTTTTTGTCGTCTTCTTTTCCCGACAAATTTCGCAGTCGGAGTCAATTGTAGTTTATCTTTCGACTTGAAGCAAATATGTTGGATTTATTAGCATTTTAAAGTAATCATTCGTTACACTCCCTCCAGTATTCTCTGCACAGTTTTTTTTTTAGCCAAGTACGGACTCAATTTTAGCGATTGACAAATTATGACCTGATTTACTCGGTCCAATTGCCGCAGTTTTTGTTGCATAGGAGGTTGCAAGTAGTCTGTCTCGTTAATTGTCTCAAACGCATTAGCGTCAAGACAGATACGACAGGTGGTTTACGAAACAAAATTACTAAACGATTCTCGACGACTAAAGGTGACGTGTATGTAAAATATATCCTTAATTATCTATACTTTTATTGATAAATAGAGTGGAATTAGTAAAAGGGTATTTCCGACCACAAAAATATACGTCAGAGTACTCGGAGTCGTCAGTTCAGACTTTTCGAAGTATGTAATAGTGAAGGCCGAAATTGTTATTCAAAAATCGAATGCAAACTTTTTATCGATCTAGATTCTAGAAAGGGAAATATTAGTAAGATTCTAAATTTTTGTTAGACGGTAATGTCTGGAGCCGTAGACTGGACTGATGTTCCATTAAAAAGTAACCAAATGTTGCGCTAATCAAATTTCCTATCATCAATTCATGCGCTACATGCATACAACTGTTACAAACGTTGTGAATAGAACTGAGTCGCGGACAGACTAGTTAAAACAGGCGGTATATGCCCAGGATAATGGGGATGATATGTCTCTATAATATGTTTTCTATAAATTCGCGATGAAAGCTTTTATGCTCAATATGTGACACGTTTTTTTCACGATTGCAACAAAATATAAGATAGTAGGCCAGAAAAAGAATTCGTTTTACTTATGCAGTATATAAGGTGTAAGGCTCTAATTTCTTTATTTGTAGTTATTTATTTATTGAATGTATGATACGCTATTGGTCACCGATTGAAGGCGCTTCGTACTTGGGATGAATACTTAGTGAAGACCATTTTAGATACCTTTTAACATCACTTCAGTCGGTGTCTGGTTTTCGATGATAATTTGACAGTTGCACACTTTTCATTAAAATTTAACAAGCCCGGATTCGTTATGGCGCCTGTTTGGTAATTATGATCTAGATGTGAACTTTTTAACTTGGGTATTTCACTTATATTTTACAAAACCTAATTTATAAGTTTTCAAACCATCGCCGCGCGGGATTGTAATTTTTTGTATCACGCTGATGATTTAGCAATAATTCCGTCTACCAGAAGAGATAAAAGTGTTGACTGTGTGTGCTCTGTTGGAATTAATTTATGCATTACGTATATATATATATTTTTTTTATTTTTTGATAAAATATTCCTTATCTATTGATGCTATCTTTTATTAATTAATACATGCCAATGCTATTCATCGTGCCTGTGGAAGCCTTGCGAACATTGTACTATCCGGGAACAAGGATTACCTCTTGGAACGTACTAACTTGGAAGATGCTACAGCTAAACATGTGATAGAGTTTTTTGGAAAGAATACTATTTATCACTAGAAACATCCTACAAGGCTGGAACAAGACGGAGCAACGACTTGGATATTAACCGATTTTTTGAATATCACTATCCAGGTGTGTCAATGCATGCCGAGTTTCGTGCCACTCGTTGTTTCGTTGTGTACACATATTGCATGCAACTGTTTTTTCGCACTGTCAAGCATTTATTTGTTTTTTCTTTCCAATTTATTTCTGAAAATATTTGTATATGTGTTTTAAATGTCGGCCTCTGCTAGTACCCCATGTCTACCTGGTTTTTGAAATGGGATAATCAAAAATATAACGTCTGTTTGCTGGATGAAAAACTTCACAATCCACAAACTTCATCTTGGTCAGGCGATTACATGCTTCCAATCTGATTCGATATTCAATATCAGCTTTGTATGTTCTTACTTTAGTCAGTTTTATTGAAATTTTTTACTCAATAGAAGTCATGTGTGACTTGTGAGAATTCGACTACATAAGATTATTCCAAATAAAAATGTTGTCTGGTTTTTAATTGTTATCTTTGTTGATATTTCGTTACCTTTTTTTGTTTTATTTTTTACGCGTCCCTTTTTTGCATCAAATATGTTGTATGATAACATCATTTTCGAGAAATAGAATCTTAAACTTCAGAAAAATAAACCATATGATTTGTTCATCTATCAGATACTATCGATTTGTACACACCTAGAAACTCAAAGTGCTCCTTCAAATACTTATATTTTGTTTTCAACTTATTTAAATGATGCGTTTTATACTTTGTTATTTCGGTTATTTGAAATTTTCCTTTTACGTAAAAATTTTACATGAGGTATGTTTCATGTCCTTTGTTAACTGAGTAGACCATTAGTGACATAGGAATAATAATTGACCCGGTAGACAGATCACACCATTGTGATGACAATAAAATCGATATGGAATAATGTTGATATTTTCGAAATCCTGTTATATCGGAACCTTCTAGAACATTACATTGCTTGGCCAATGATTTACGAATATTGAATAGAGTTTCCGTATTCGCATTGTCCGCGATTTTAGCTCGAACGTGTTGAATTGCGCATCAAGTATCTCGATTCTGAGAAGCGTCGATATTTTGTGTTTTGAGGTGCCGCGAGTGTCCTGGAAAATCAATACATATAACATTTTAGGGATGATTTGATGATAGTGAACAAGACATCAACTTCAAACGTGTCATCGCCGTAGTCATATCTTTACCATAATGAGTGAACACGAAAAAGTCTTACACCATACGAACATGAATGTCAAATTGCCACATTGTGTTTCAGTTTTACAAAATGCCGAAAATTCAAAGATTCCCGTGCAGCCACAGGAGATTATAACAAGAATGAAAGAAATTGGCTTCCCGCGGATACTTACATCTAAAACCATTGAAAATTCAAGTTTTTAGTTCAATAGATGAAGCATTTTAGCTAGACAACAACAACTATTTCGGAAAGTAATTCGCAGATGCACTTCAGTTTCAATTATTGTAAAGGGATTTAGGACAATTACTGTTATGTAAAATTCGTTCAAACGGTACATATGATCAAAATCATACTCGGCGATCTGCATTCCCATGCGTACTCTATTATTCCTGGAATTCCTCAGGGCTCAATTCTTGGGCCTAAATTGTTCGTGATAAATATTAGATGACCTTCTGGATACCTTTCAATGCAAATTGGAATATTCGCGGATGATAAAACTCATTAAGCCTTCTATATAAAATCGAATAAGAAATAAAGTTATACCTTGCTTAATCTCTTCAAAAAACAGATTGTATCGGTTTTCTAAAGAGGAAATTCAATTGAAAGTTTCAACTCAAACTACCAACTCAACACTAAGATCCTATTTATCATCATTACGCTAAAACTAATTATTTCCTTCATTATACACATCGAGTGGACTACATTCCATCTAACTTTTTTTTTGATTCATAGGCCTCGCCATCTTGAGATATATTATGAAATGCATTCATTATGTCAAATTTCAGAAAGCTTTAGTAAAAGTCAATTCACTTATTCTTACTCGTTGATATAACATTAGAAGTTATGCTTTACATACATGAACAAATCGGTGGTTCTCCATTCAATGAAGCATTGCTTCCACATTCTTGGAGGTGATCTCGCAAACTTCTTTTAACCCTTTTTCGAGTTTAAAGGAGAGCTATATGTAGAACAATATAACATGTCCTAAACTGTTTTCGGATTGTACAGTCTTTCCCGTCGAGAAAATGTATTTCGTTGAGCTTTTTTATACATAATATTATCACACACTTTGGGCTTGAAATATTCCACCTCTTCTCTCCAAAAACAATTTTTTATCGCTTTGGTCTCTAGTTCACATCCATGCACTGAATAGGTTTTCACTTTTCAACAAAATTTTCAGGTTGAAAGGTTTTTTATTTCAAGCTTTGTATACTATAGCTGTTGTGTCGAGGGTGTCGCTGATGTATATTGTTTAATCCTAGAAGATTGATTGAATATATTTTAAGATAATATTTTGTAAAGCTTGATATTATTGCTCGTGTAAGATGAAATATTTTCCCAGGTTGAAGAGTTGGCTGTAAAACAACAAGAACAGCGGTAGCACATTTACACATAGCGCACCTTCGCATATGCCATAAATTATAAATACAGCAATATTATTTAGTTTTTTTGCGCAAAATTGTTATGGTAAAACACTCCAACACTTTGTTTCAATCCAAAAGTCCTAAATTGTAATTTGAATCATATATGCTGGCAAACATTGATCAGGTTGCCCATGTTGTTACCTTAATCGAAAATGAATGACTGAGATTCTGCAATCCAACAAGACGTTCGACTGGACATATATAGCATATAACAGTGACATTTTAATATTCCTAGAAATATATTAAGATATAGTTTACGGCTTTAAACTAAAAAATAAGCACATTTTCGAAGCTGGCTTTCTGCTGACATGAATAGGGAAGGTTATTTATTACATGTGTAAACTTTCAACTTCGATGGTCAACAATTCTGTGATAAAACCGTTGACTGAATGTAAAAAGTAAAAACTCGTTAAAAGGTCTTTTTCAAACGATAAAATATTGGAGAGATATCTCATTTTTCAAAAAGCAAAATGAAGTATACGTTCCCTCTATTTTGTCAACTACCTGAGAAGTGCGTCTTCGTAGTCGAATAATAAAAAAATTGTTCCAATGTCGTACTGAGTTCACATCACCTCTGTGTCGTTATATAAGTCCTTCAATATTTAATTAAAAAAATGTTGAAACACCATAATGCTATCTTGGGCGTAAGAATAAACGTCAATGCAAGTTTTTTTTTACCTCGTTTCGAACTTATTTCACGAGTTCAATGAAAGAACGTTTCATACTATTATGTGTGACTGGTATAAATTTAAAATGACTTAACACACTCTATTTGCAGAGATTCAAACGGTTCGCTGTGTTGTACATTAATTATTAAACTACCCCCAATTATTTCCAACCCAGAAAATAGTCATTTTACGGCCACGCGTTGACATCTTTAAGCTCTTAGTTCAAGATAGAATTTGAACACATTATTTCTTATATCGATGTATTTATCTGTTATGCAAATTTTTCACTTGATGTCAGAACAATTCAGCGTTCTGGAACAAATTTAGATTCGTCATACTTGAGGGCAACATTTCTGCCATCTTCTGGTACAGCAAGCTAGTGTAGCTGCGGTTATTAAGGCAATATTTAAGCGCACATTTTTATGTAACAAATAATTGAAGAAATTTAAAAACAATTATTGACCTAGCAAACAGAGATTATTGGCCTGATTAAGCCATCATCGTATTGATGAATTCCAGAAAATAGTAGGGAAGCCTTATCCACACGCACCGACGAGTCCCAATAAAACAGAGTAAATGTGAGGGCTGGCATGCGTCAAGTTTTTCCGATAACCCTAAATAGGCATCTCCGCAACTCCGATTCCACATCTGGCCTCGAAAATCAGGCGCGATATTATCATAGTGGACCTTCTTCCGCAAGGGTTGTTAAAAATATATAAGTTATTTCGTGGGATACACATGCCATCATCATCACTTTGTATGTATTTTGCGGATGGGATTCATTTTCATTGTTGAGGTGGCAACAAACTGAACTTGAATATTTTTGCGATATTGTAAAGGGCTAATATTGCAGTCATTTTATTTCTCGTCCTTGATTAATGAGGACAGCGGATTAAGTGACGCGGTATTGCATGTTAAAAATTTATGAAAATGACCTGGATGATCCGTACAGCAACGATGTTCATTAAAAGTTAGTTACCCCTAACTTTTACATCCTTTTTCCTTCTAAGTGTTTTGGATTTATAATATTACACGAGAATCGTCCAAACGTATCTTGCTTAGCCATCGAACGTTACGGTCGCTTTCCTATTCTTTTCCAGCTGTAGCCAAAACGTTCCAACACGCGAACGAAATTATGCAAAAAGCTGATTTTAAACCTTGCATAATTATACTTTCGTAACGTCATCCTCGTCAAACATTCCAAACAATAAACACATGCACATGTGTTACAGGCAAGCAGCAATGGGAAAAGATCTGCATCTAAGACCGCTTGTGTCTTTTGATAAACGCAAGTATATATATATGCATAATTTTGTGATATTAAGTTTACTTTCGCAGTGCCGCTGAAATCAAAGAATTGAACTTTATAAGAAAGCGTTCCGTAAACCAGTGGGTCTCAACCGCCGGTCCGGACCTTGCTGTCGTCCGCCCAATATATTACAATATTATATCCTAATTGCCAAATGCAAGGCACTAATGCTGGTTTGTTTAATTTGTTTGTTTTAACTCCAATTGATGCGTAAAACAAACTTGGTCAGAGGTCCTACGCCCATTCCAAGCCCTGAACGCCCGGATGTTTTGTTAAGTCAATGACGTCATGACGGGGAACATCATAACGCAGTTTAGCTTACTTGCGATACCACGTTGATGTCGAAGCATAAAGACTTGCCATTGTTACAGTTTTGGATATCGCTTGAAAAGAATATTCTGAGCTCAGGCACAAAGCCATTGAATTACTGCTGATCTTTGTATAACTTACTTACGTGAGAAAATTTTAACGGTGTACCGGTCTGCAAAATTAGTTTTGAAATTTAACGGTCCTCAAGCTAAAAAAAAAGATGGGGAACTACTGCTGTAAGCCATTCACAATCACATTTCGAGTAAAAGAATACAGTACTGAGATCTAATTGTCCTAATATTTGATCTTTTCATGTATTAATTCACCCATAACATCGAGTTTTAGATATATTATACTGTAGTAGATAATCACACTTTACGAACTATTGAGTGCAACTATTACTTATATCAAATATTTTAGAAATTGATTCCGAAGTCTTTCCTGCAAAAATTCATGTCAAATTTTAATGCCTACTCATTGTCAATACATATGACGAAAAAATTCAATATGATTTCATCTCAGTTTTCTCTCTATATACACACAATATTAGAAATCAAAATTCGTTGATTCGAATCATTTGAAACAAGAATGACATCGGATTTATTTTACTATAGACATTTAAAAGGAATGCAAATTGAAAATCTTCTATGAAGCACATATATCGATACTTCGGAGAATAACTTTAGACACGCATATTATTTTAAAGGAGCATTAGGAGAATATTAAATGTTTTTTAAGTATAGTAGTGCTTTTCATGTCTTGTTAGGGCTAAACTTTACATTCAGCAAACAATTTTTTGCCTTCTATAAAACAGTTATAAATTATTTCCTATGCTTTTGGACCCTTGCATTAAGTCGGGTGGAATTTTAACTAGAAAAAAATAAATACCCCTAAAAATAAGCCCTTTTATACCGTTTATTTACAAACAGTCTGTAACTCAAATGAGAACTGTAATCATATTAAAAGTACAAAGCATTAACCTCTGGAATGTGTGACAATTGAACGAAAATCAATACCGCAAAGAAAATGTTCACAATGCGGCTTTTTTAACTTGCCAACAAGCCTGAGAGGGGAAGTAAACAACGTTGTTTTGATTTATTTTTTATCCTAACGTTTAACACATCAAGCCAAACGAAATGTTACAATATTTCTCCGGTCTGTCGGAATATACTGATTCAATTTAAAGTCAATTTTGAACCCTTTTTTTGCCTTTTCAATTTTACAGCAGCATCTTGGCAGTGTATGTTAGAATTAGGGTGTGGCGCATTCATGCTTTGTAACTTCGTTTGTTTGA